CTGGGGTCTCCCTCGTCCTGCGCACGCTTGGCGGTCCCGCCCTGCTGTGTGAGTGCGATCTCCCCTCCCAAACTAGACCCACCGTTGGACCGGGCGTGCCCCTCCTCTGGGTCGCAGTTCCTTGGAGTGTTGCGCCTCTCAGGTTGACGCCTAGGAGGGGGCGTCGGAGTACCAGAAGAGCCCATGACGAGGACAAACACTCCAAGACGACGGCGTCCGGCGGACCCTTGCCAAAGAACCCGCTCACTCCGCGAGATGAAGCGGGCGGACGCCCAGCACGCCACCCCCCTAACGCAGCCGCGGGAGGTCGGATTACTCCCTCGCACCCCGCGGCTGCTCCATGTATTCCCTGCTTCGTGTACGCGCCTCCCTGCCAACTCCATGCCGATCTCCCGTTGAGGCCAGCGTTCAACTCGTATCAGGTCGCAACACTTCTTGCGCGCCTATTTAGCGGGAAAGGCCTAGCGGTCTACACTCCAGAACAACCCTACTCTGACGCGAATAGCAACGAACTCAGTCCCTTTTTGGCCTTGGTTTCGTACAGATTCGACGCCTGTGTGGTGTGCTGTTGGACTGGTGTGTGTCCGTTTGCGCATCTGCTGCCGTACCTAACAGGAAAGATCAGAGAGTCAAAATAAAGTCCTGTCTTCAATCGAAAAGATCCTGTGCAATTTTCGGGTACCAAGTGCGGCGTAATCGGAAGAACACACACCTCGACCGGTGAACGGCCGCCGACAGAAAAAAACTGCGGCTTGTATGGGGAATCCGTCATATGCTCGTGGAAAGACGAGTTTGTTTTCTCACTGTATCTCTGGCTCTCTGGCTCGATGTCTCTCTACCAATACCATCAGTCGCCAGTTGGCTATGCATACATACGGTGGCCAACGTGCTGGCTATATTTCAAGCACCCGTGACGCTGACAACATGACCCTGATATTGCGTACCACCCACATAGAACACTAACACTGCACTACTGTAGCGCGGTCTTGCCTACAGTAGGATGGGGTGCAATATCGCTGCCTGGAGATGTGTATCTGCTAGCGACACCTGCGATGCAAGCGTGTGCAGGATTCTTGCAGCGAATTCGCACTCTCTGCGCAAGTACGGCCAACGTAGGCATTTGTTTTCGACATATGGTCTTGATATTCTTGGCAAGCAACGCCATGTGCATACGAGAGCATCGCCTACGGTCGCACGAATCCCGCCTTGTTGAACAGCAAGGCAGAGAAGTAACTGTTACCGCAGGATGCTGCATGTACATAAGCAGCGATGATCGGTATTACTGTTTGAATTGACGGTTTGAAATTTGAATTGCATCTCGAATGGGTAGTCTCTCTGTGTGTGTATTTACTACATTTTCCTTAATTGCCTTATCTACTCTGGCAGCACAGGGGTACCACTCCGAGAGGGAGAAGGCCCACTTCAAAGAACGGCCACCTCCCAACCCTCACCTGCGTATACGGAAGACTATTTCTCTTTGCTGCCCTCTCTCTCTGGTAATCCCTCTTCCCCTGCTGCGCCTCTGCCGCACCCGGCCACCGGCCACCGCCGCAGTAAGGGGGGCCCACGGCCTACATTTGACAACAGAAGGAGCCCCCCTCATCATCTAATGCGCCGGTTGTTTGTGCCCCCAGGCGTAACGCGGGCTGCTGTAGCTCGGCTCACACACTCACACACCATCAATACGCGGGCAGCTGCTGTGTGAGATGGCTTCCGAGCAGATGTTCGACATGGTGTGCTTAGGGGGAGGCGTGTCCGCAGGTGAGTTTGCGAGCTTCTGCCTTCATGGTGTCCCGTGACGAGCCCGATATCATGCCTGGACCCAGAGAAAGTGCTCTATTTTTCCCTCTCTTTTCAAATGATGCGATCCGACAAGCTGCCCGCTCTCTGTGCAACAAGGTGTTTAGTTGCTCTTGGCAATAGCAGGGCCAACCTAACGGCTGCGCCTGTGTAGGTGTGTTCATGTTTGCTTCGCCCCGCGCATGAAACTCATGAATAACGGGTGTATGTGCGAGCGCGACTTGCTGCATCGTGAGTATGCAATAGGCGTATCAGCGCAATGATCGGACCGTTACCCCCAGGATTCCTGTCGTGTGTGGTATCTGCCCAACAGAAGTTTAGGCTAGAATGACTGCTGTAGACAATACCAGCATGCAGCCTGTGGCGGGCCGCAAACGATCACATCTGGTTTTGGTCCCCAGCCGTCGATCTATTTGGCCATAAATTGATCTTGCTTCGATTACTTGCCCAACAAGGGAAAACATATACCATGAACTTTGTATCTCGAACAACAGCAGCAGTTCAAGCCGGGCGACATGTCCTGTAGAACATACCATTCACGATCAGAGGCTGATTCCGCCGTCGGCGCATACGACAGACTTTCATTGAGAACGATGGTTGCATCAGGATGGCATGCATGCATACTCCTACAGTAGTAGGGGGCCCGCATTAATGCCGCCTATATACTATTTGGAGGTTGTTGTCGTTGCTGTCTCTTCATCAAAAACCGTTCCGATCTCTCAACCCAGTACATCCATCTGTCCGTACTGATCAAGCGCGTCACTGAGCGATTCCCGTGGTCACATGATAACTTACCTAAAATAGGTAAACTCACATAAAATGGACCCACCCGCCGCAGGATTTTACCGGCCTTAATCAGGCACCCGGCACTTTTCAGAGTATCGGACAACTTGAATTATTCTGTCTGTGCCAACCGATTTCACCGCGTTTGTATCGAGCGACCGACCTTATACAGGCCCCTACTGGTTTTTGTACTCCTCGACTCTATTTGTTGAGCGGTGGGCGGATTTAGAATTTGGTCAACCGGGATGCGTCGGCAGACAGCCGTGCTTGAAAATTACACATTCCGCACCCCTCGCTCGCCGGACTTGCCGGACTTGAAGTCACAAAGATGCCGGGGAACTGTCTTCTTTTCACAAAGATGACGGGGAACTTTCTTCTTTCACAAAGATGCGGGGGAACTGTCTTCTTTTCACAAAGATGCCGGGGAACTGTCTTGTTTTCTCGCTGAGCCCGAAGCGCTGAACCTGTCGTTTCGGGTCATGCATCACTGGGATTACTACACAGACTGTTAACTCATATAGCCGCTTGCCGTAGTCAGTCAACCGTAACCATATGGTAGACCTTGCATCCCCACAATGCCACAGCGGCTTGGGCGAGCTTACCGCTATTTTTGGATGAGTTTGAATCAGACGGGGGGGGGTTGACCACGCCCATATCTATGCGTGCGCTACCCGGGCAACACTCTCAAGGGCTGTGGTTTGAGCTACTGCTGTAGTCAAGCGTTTTTACTCAAGGCTGCTTCTGCTGCAAACGAGATCATCGTCTCGCGTCTTTATCTCGTCGGAATTGTAGTTCATCTGCCAACCGGGGAGCTATGTATGTGCTCCATCTGTACGACCCCATCAGTCTGCCTGTGATTGCTTTGCGTTTGTATTGATTTTCTGGGTCCTTCTCATCGCATGCACCACGCTGTTACTCGAAGCGGTTAGCCAGAGACCATGAAAGTCATCCGCGTCACTTAGACCGATGCGCATCCCAAAATGTACCTACAGTACAACGGGTTTTTATATTGCGCAGAGAACAACGATGTTGACCCTACCTGGTGTGTGGCGAACAACGCGATTGAAGACACATCACTACCGCCGTGTCGATGGCGGTGGAAGAGGCGAGGGCAGGGGCAGGGGCGAGGATGGCCCTGGTACTGCCGGCAGCGCTGGCGCGCTTGGGTACTCCACTTCCTCTTGCCCCCCTTGGCGGGCACTGAAAACACCTCTCCGACCTCCACCTCAATCATGGTTACATACATACCCACAGCACGATTCACTCTCAGCCAGCCGTGTCACAGCAGTATCAACAACGCTACAAACCTCCGCCCCTTGTTCGGCTGAACGGTCAGGGTACTGGGCGGAAGAGGTGGTTTCGCTCCTCAAGTCGGGGGCGGAGCAACCGGGCTTCAATCGGCCGAAGCTGTGCGTCGTGACCGGGTACCCCGATGGCCTTGTCCCGTACGAGCGGTCGGAGATGTCCAAGGAGTGCCTCCGGCCCGAGAACAATCATTCCAGAGACTGGCAGGTGCTATTGTGGTAGTGCTTTTACAACTCGATGATGTCTCTTTTGAGAGGTTTGACATGGACAGACAGGTGCTATTATGTAGTGCCTTCACAATTTGGTATGATCACTTGTGAGTCTTGTTGACTGGCAGTTCCTGGTGCTTTCACAACTCGGTGATGCCTCTTTTGAGAGGTTTGACATGGACAGACAGGTGCTATTATGTAGTGCTTTCACAGCTTGATGACGACTATTTTGGAAGGTTGGACATGACTGCTGGCAGATGCTACTGATAGTGCTTTCACGTCTCGATACGTCTTGACATGACTGCTGGTAGGTGCTAGCGCTTTCACAGCTTGATGAGTCACGACTGACAGGTGCGAGTATATAGTGCCTTCACAATTTGGTGCGATCACTTGTGAGTCTTGTTGACTGGCAGTTCCTAGTGCTTTCACAAGTCGGTGATGACTCTTTTTAGAGGTTGACATGACTGCGCCACGGCGGTTAGTTAACCTCGTTTGAATCGCCAACTCCCTACCTCGCACTCTCTCTCTGTGCTGTTTTATGTGGACCGTGACGTTTACCAGGCGTGGGGAAACAAGGTCTTCCCTTTCACCAGCACGGGGAACGACCGAGAGCGAAGGTGCGTGTGCTCCCCTCACCCCCTCCTGTTGATGCAATGACTCTTTAACAATGGCGGTCGAAAGCCCTTGGTTCGTGTGTACACTCGGAGGAAAGAGAGTGCTGCACTCTTCGGAGAGTAAACAATCGAAGGCAAGCGTGAAAGAGAGAATAATCATCCTCGACAGACGTTGGGGAGACTTGACCTTTTATGAGGGTGGTCTCTACACAAGCACCGGTTCTGAATCCCGAATCTTGTTGGGGGGGTGTCCTATGCTTCGCGTGTGCGTGATCGTGACTGGCGCAGGAACGCTCGGTGGTACCGGGACAACGGGGTTACGGTCCTGTCGTCTTGCGAGTGCTACGAGGTGGACGTGGCGAACGCGACGCTCCGACTGTACCAGGTGATGAGCTAGCTCCTCGGTTCCCCTGCCGCCGCCGCCCCGCTGCCACGAATCTTGATGCTTCGGTTGCCTTGGGAGCCGAGATATCTACGTTGTCCTGGAACTCCCTCCCTCTCCCGGTTTCTGTCTGTCTGTGCCCCTCTCTCTCGCGCGCTCTCGCTCTTTTCTCTCTCGCTCTCTCTCTAGATGTACACATGGTATATACATTTCCTTCTCTCTCTCCGTCTTGCTCTCAATTACCGTCTGCAACTGTCGCTTTTCTTCTTGTCCCTCTCTCTCGTCCGCTCCGCTATCCCTACACAGTACTCGGACCGGGCACGCACTAGGGCAAAGGCGAAGCAGCTGTCAGTCACGTACGGCTCCCTGATTGTAGCCACCGGCTCTGCGGTACGTGTGTCGTGCTCGTCTTGTCGTTTCTCATGGTCGGGGGTGGTGGTCTTCTAGAGCCGTTCAACACAGGGAGGACACGTTGTGTGGTGCTGTCACCAAAGAGTGTTACACTATTATGCCATGTGGAATTAGGTTTCTTACGGTATGTATTGGTACAATACGCAGAATTCTCATCTCGAGTTGTAACTGACGCCGTCCGAACTCAGCTTTCTTGTACATCGACCGCGTCTGCGGCGAGGGGCTGTCTCCATCCCAACCCCACCCTACGAGCAATGTTTGGCTTGCCCCGGTTCCGTTTCCCCTGTCCGACATGTGGTACGTTTTTTTATGTTTGTCGCTCCGCTGTTACCCGACCGCCACGTCCTACTTGTACCCCGAGGGGAAGGGCGTGTTTCGAGACACCGCACTTTTCTCTCGCTGGTTGGGGTGATGGGGTGGCGATTTTTGGGAGTTGTATTTTCCATTCCAACTACTTCCGGGCGAGGGTGTCCACGCTTGCTCAACCCGCTCCCACCCACCCCCTTCCGTTTCTCATCCGCTCGGTACCGGCTTTCTCCAATCAAATCCTGTTTTTCAACGAGACACGAAATATTATGTTTTATTGTAGATATTTGGGGTGTTGTTTATTTCCTGGTTTTGGCAGGGCATGTCCATCCCATTCCAATCCGTTCCAACCCCAAACCCCACCCCAACTCCGACTACGCGAAACCCAGCCTAAGCGCTTGCAGGGGGACCAAGACAGCGCGTGCTTCTGCGTGAGACATTCAGACCTACGGGGCCCAAAGCTCGACAAGCCGGAGGCGTACGGGCTGGGCAGCGCCCACTACCTTAGGGACGTCGGCGACTGCATCAAGCTCGTGAAGGCGCTGAGCACGGTGCCCTCGGGGGGGGGCGCGGGGGGGGGGACGGGGGACGCGAACACGGTTGCGCTGGTGGGGGGTGGGGTGTTGTGTATGGAGGTGGCCGCGGCGATCGTGACTCATTACCCGTGAGTTTATGTGTGTGTGTACCCTTTTTTGGCGCCTACCGCGACTGTGCTGACCAATGAGAGCAAGTCAGCGGGCCAATATAATGTTTCAAAGAATGTCCGCCTCCCATGATGTGCACATGTGTGCACACGCTATGTGTTTATTTGTGATTTGCATGGACCGCACTACATGTAGCCGGCTGACCAATGAAAAGACGTCAGTGCGACTGGAAACTGCTAAAGGGCCATGATGGGGGACCCCATGAGGGGGTGCGTCGACGGGTGTGTTGTGTGTGCGTTTTTGTTCGCACATCTATCGTGGTTGCCATCCCTTTGGCGTCTTCCGGTTGGTCGGTGACGCTTGCGCTTAGACATGTTTGTTTTTCCCGTGCTGACCACAGGCTATAAGACCCTAATAGTGTTCTTCCGGGTGGGCGTTGTTATTGCTGCGCGTGCCGCGTTTCACGAAACGAAGTGCTCAAACCATACCCCTTCGCATTTTCCGTGTTGGTAGTCTGTTGGGACCTCGCTCGCAGTACCTACGTAAATTCCCGCGCATGTTGCAGCGTTCCTTAGCTGCCGCTCTTGTCGATGAGTCAGGCGAACGTGTCCATCCCGAAAACGATACGTTATGTTGTCATGTACACACAACACTGATGCTCGCCGGAAGAAAACAAGCTGTACTTGGTCCCTTCCCTCCCGTCCCCAGCCCAAGAACATCGATCCATCGTAAGGTTTCACGGAGCCGGGGATCAGAGAGCGATACACATTATAGGGAAAATCTTAATCTTTCCCCTTCCCTGCTGTGTGTGCTCTGTTCTGATGCCTTGACGTTGCTCTGTCAGGGGGGTACGACCGATCCTGCTCATGTCCGGGTCGCGTCTTATGCCGGACTTCTTCAAGTGAGCCGTCGAAAAAATCTTTCTTGCATTACAGTGGGGGGCCCGGTGTAGCGACCCCTAGTGTCACGACGAAACGTGGCCGCTATTCGGGGCAGGTCGCTCAACCAAACTACCAATAATGTAGCAGCAGTTACACTATCGGGGTCCGGCTGTGCGACGTTGTTTTGTGGTCGCTACAGAGGGCATGTCGCTTAACAGCGGGTCGCTAAACCGGCCCATTTAATGAGAAACACACTCTCACGAGAAAACTAGGCTCAGGTTTTATAGATTCTTAGAACCATGAAAGGAAAATGGCGCGAAAAAAAAATTGAGCTCAGCCGCCGGCACTTGCACGAAATCCTGTTCGGAGCTCGCTAGTTTTGGTCTATATGCTTTTTCGTTGAGACTACTGTACCGTATCGAAAAGCCTGCTTTCGGCCCAGGAAGGAGGCGTGTTTTCTTATCCTGTTAGCGCATGTCCCGACTCAAGGGTCATGCTGTGTGTGCAGCGGTGTCACGTGGTTGTCCGATTCGTGCTTCCGAATTCACAAAGGAATTCATGACAGCAGGAATGAAATTATCTATATATTTCCACGCACTCCGTGACGATGTCACTCCGGTAATTGCATGGGAATGTTATCGATGCCTTTACGCACGTGCGGTGTGCTGCTCCTTGCAGCCCTTGTCGCTTCCAAGCGTTTTTATGTCGGCGAGCTTCCGATTCCGGTGCTCGTGTTGTTTGCTCGCCTGGAGGAGCTTTTTTTTTTTTCTTGTCGTCACTTCAACTCTTTACTCATAACACTTGTGTCGTTTACTCCAACCTATAATAGCATGCGTTCCCCTCTTCGTTTTGATACAAACAAACTGACCAGCTTGCACTCGTGGTTGTTTGTTTTTGTTTTGTGTGTGAGGGTCCCTGTTGTACCCAGTCTATTCCGGGGGCAGTCTACGCGTTTCCGTATGCTCCGGAGTGTGTTGGCGCGCTAGCCGGGGAAACACAGGCAGTGTCATTACAGCGTGCACGATACGTTTTCCGCTCAATTTTAATATTGCTGTTCCTGTTGTCAGTCAGGAGATGTCTGATTTCTACGAGGAGAAGCTGAAGCAAGCCGGCGTTCGTCTCGAGAAGAACGTCACCGCGGAGCGGCTATGGGGGTTGGAGGAGCAGGCAAGGACCCCATTCGTTTGGCAGACACAGCAGTCTGCTGCGATTATAGTGGACATTTGTTGTCGTGTTTATGTTATGCTAGGCACAAGGACGGGTTAGTTATTAGTGGTGGTGCTTGTGACATGGGGCTATGCATATGTTGGTACTGTTTTAGGGGATACGATCTCCATCTCAGGTGTTTTTAGTTCGCTCTGGCATACAGTATATACTCTGCGCAGTACAATCCCACAACTCTCTCGCTACACCAAGCGCCCTACTTACTCCTACCCTCTTTCATCAGCAGGCCAGCCTTGGCTCAGCCACTCTCTGCCTCTGCATTTGATCCGAAGGCATTCCATCACTTCTGTGAATTTTCATTCCCGTAGCACCGCCGACAACGATAGCCGGCAATTGCCCCTCTCATGTTTGCATTGGTGGGGTCCGTTTGATTGCCCCGCATATGTTTTGGTGGTGTTTGTTTTGCAGGGGGAGTTCGATACCCTGGGAGGCCGCAGGGTGCACTTCGGCCCCGCGCCCCGGGGGTTCACGGAGTGCCGAGGAGTCGTCCTGCGCAATACCGAAGATTGCTTGGTGAGGTTTTTTTTTTCGTCCTGTTTTTTATGGCGCTCTGTATTCATGGGCAAATCGCCCCGAAGGCAACAACCCTGGTAGGAAGCGTTGTCGAAAAGAAAGCCCACCTACCACGACCGCCAAACACGATTGATGTATATGGTTCCGGCATTTTCCCTCGCTATATTGTATTTATGCGTGAATCACCCCAAGGCGACAACCCTGGTAGGTGGCGCTGTTGGGCGACAGTCCCCTCATTTTTCGTGGTGAGACGTGTACTACACATGTTTCAGTTTATGTATAGAATATTACACTCTTCAATATTTTTTGTACAACCACAACCTCCGGGGTTTTTGCGTTTTGGAAGAAGTTTAGGATCCAAGCAGCGCCCGTGTTGAAGATGAACTTGCGCAGAGTTCCGCGCATGTATCCACGAATGACTGACAGTAGTGGCGGTAGTGCCTCCCATGGGGGGGGGTGGCGGGGGGGGGCACGCAGAAAGTATTCTTTGTAGTGATATGGAGGCTCCGTGTATACGGTCAGTCTCCGGGGAAGAGAATGAGTGAGAAATGAACTGAGTGCTTTGGCTTTCGCTCGTACGAACGTTGAGTTATATACGACGAGCCCAGTTCCAGTTTGAAGGTCTTGGGGGGGTTGAGCAACGGCGGTGTTCCCTACAGCAGCCGGTGCCATGAGTTCTGCCCACACACACCCCTCCGCCTAGGGGGCTGAAAAGGCGGGAAGTGGCATCGATGGGATAGGTAGGATAGGGAAACCCTTTTTGAGCCACCTTTGGCATAGTAGGAAGGAACGATTGGCCATCGATCCTGTGGGAACAAAGCTCCGTCGTTTCGAGGACGCGTGGTCAATATTATGAAAACAAAGGCATGAGAAACATGAGTGCAAAACATAAGTACGCCGTCCCCCCTCCCGCCTTCAGTGCAAGGTCGCTGTCGACGCTTATTGGTTAAGTCTTCCAGGCCTCACAACCGTCTTTGAAAACACACGCGACGCAGATCCATGTCCCTGCCCGCTCTGTCATCATCGGCATCGGCGCGGTGCCTAACTCGGAGTTATTTCGGGGGAAGCTCGAGATGTCCGAGGTGAGTCCGGAGGGGGGGACGGGAGTGACGGTTGGTTCTCGTGCGATTATATTGCAAGTACTGGGAAAGTTAGCCTGCGACCACGGGAATCGACCCCGTCAAGTGTTAGACTACAATAGTGCAGACAGAAGAAGGTACTAGGTAGAGAGAACGGAACGGTTTTTAGTGTGAAGACAACAACAACAACAACAATAACAACAACAACAACAACAACTGCTGCAGCAGAGCCATTGGCGATAGTTGGATTGTGTTTGGGATGTGATTGATCGCATGTGTTGTTGTTCCGGGTTCCTAATCGATCGGCATTGACGTAGCCACGATTCTTCTTTGCTCTTGGACCCGTTTTCGGAGGAGAAGCTGGAGGCGTCGGAGGAATTGGTAGGGGAGAGATTGGTGTGTTGAGAAGTGTTTCGCAGCATGCCTTTACCGTGACGTCATATTTTATCCGCAATCCGCTCGTAAGAGCCAAACCAGGTACACTGGGGGTCTCGGTATAGCGACCACAAAATCACGTGGCACCGCCGCACCCAGGTTACAAGTGCTATATGATTGTTAGGTCGGTTTAGAAACCTTCCTTGAATAGCGGCGAAATTTCGTCGTGACACTAGGGGTCGCTAAACCCGCCCCCCCCACTGTATAGATGTGTTTGTTGCCGAGGTAGAGGCGCTGGTTTCTCGACCCTCACCATCACCGTCGTGCTACAAGTTGCTAAGATATGTAGCCTGCCGTTTTCTGACATGACTTGAGTACTTCGATTGTGCAATGATAGGTTTTGTTATTTTTTTCTGTCCATGTGCTTCTCCACCTGCCCGTCATCCATAGATGGTGGTAGCAAATTGATGAGCGGTAGGGAGCTGACAAGACGAGCACAGCAGAGTCGCACGCTGCCCCCCCCCCCCTCCCCGTGCTGTTTACCACCAGGGTCCTACCGGTTACGACTGACATATCACAGGTCACGGTTGTGAAAAGTTCCCAGCGCGGCCCAACAAACACGTCACAAGATAACACACGCTTATTTCTGTAGATACCACCCCTCCCCACACACAAGTGTACATCCAACCGGTGGTAGCATTTCTTGCGGGTCACCTTGAGCCCACACCATGAGGCTACTCTTGATGAAGAGTTGGCCTCTACCCGTTTCGACTGACGTAGGCTGCGGTTGTCTACAAAGCACGTTGCGAGGTCTACGGTACGGGAGACTGTACCAAAAAACACCACACACGCCGCGCGCCTGAACACGCTCCCCACACTTGCCAAGTGTTTCAAACGTTCAAGTTTTGATTTTTGTTGGTCTCTCGTTGGTTCGTGTGCTCGCCGTCGCCGCCTCCAAGGACGGAGGCGTTCTGGTTGACGCCCAGTGCCGTACGGCGGTACAGCCCCCTTCCGAAGACGGGGGCGGCGGCGGCATTGATGTCGGTAGCGCTGCTCCCCCCCGGCCTATCTACGCGGCCGGGGACGTGGCGGCGTTTCCGCTGGCGCTGGAGGGCTTCGCTCCTGTGAGACACGAGCACATCCAGAACGCCAGGTGGGCGGGGGATTGACCCCGAGAGCACGGGTGAACCGTATACAGGTTTTACCAGGAAACATATATATACAAACACCGAGAGACTACCCGTTCCAGATGTAACCACAGTCGAACGGGGTGTGTTTGGAGTTTTTGCAGTGAGTGGAGGGAAACCGGCTGGGTACTGCGCTTATTTCGAGTCTGGTTTTTGCCTAGGCACTGATTATTTATATCAGTGATACCAGCTTCAAAAGTATCTGAATAGGTTTTGTACAAAACTACATCCCCTGTAGTTCTCTACTGTATTTTTTTTTTTTTTTTTCGTTTGTTGGGGTCAGCTGGGCTGTTCGAGAGAGGTGCGGTTGACAGTACCTACTCCTGTTTGCAAAGCTTGGTTGCTCTACAGAAAAACGGTGGCGGTGGCGGTGTTGGAAGAGGGCGGCGTCGGGCCCTCTCTCTCTCGCCGATACTGTCCCGAACTTCTCATCGTTCGACTGCATCATCCTCTCTTGTGGTGGGTTGCCGTGTACGACACAAGATAACACACCCCCTGGACCGATTTTCAAAGCTCGATTACTCCACGACGAAAACGATGCATATACGAAACGATACGTTTTCGGAGAGCTCTCGACCAGACGGCTTTTCAACGGCGCCGTGTTGGACGCTGCGACTCTTTCTGCTGTTGATGAATCGAGCATTGAAAATCGGTCCAGGGGGTGTGCTATCTTGTGTCGTATACGGTAATCGGGTTTTGGAAGTCGGTCCAGGGGGTGTGGTATCATACGCGACCTACATTACATTCTTTTTTCACCCGTGCTCCCCGCTTTTTCCTGCCACGCCGTTCAGGGACATGGCTATCTGTGCCGCGAGAAATATGGTCGGAAGTTCCGCGTGGGGAAGCCTGGTTTCGAGCGCTGGGGAAGCGGGGTTCCAGAAGGACTACTACGGCGGCGGGGAGCTTCCCATGTATCAGCCCGTTCCGGGCTTTTCGTCCCGGTTCCTGGGTCTCAGCTGGAGGTGTGACTGTCTGTTGTGAGACTATGCTTCAGAGAAGCAAGAGCTGGTCGCCCCGGGGGTGTATTGTGGTTATCTGACGGCGTTGTTGTTGTTGTTGTTGTTGTCTTCACATTTTAAACCGTTCCGTCGTAAACGTACTAAGTAGTACAAAGCGATTCTCTCTCTGGAGTGAAGAAAAAAATTGCAAGTTGCGGTGGAAAATGGTGGGTAAGCACGTTACTGCTTCACGGTCGATTAGCGAAAAGGGTGGCCGAACCCCTGTCTGGATGAAATCAAGGCAAGCACCGCAGGAGGGAGGTGGGGCATATCTCTACATGTGTCCAGAACTCGTGTGTGACCTCCCGTGTTTGTGACCCCGACTGATTCGTCAATCATGTACACCGATTGGTGTGTAGACTTACGCCAGAATGGGTGAGGAAGACAACACACACATTTTTTTTTCTTTTTGTCAAGGGGAAGAAAACGGTGTGTTTTACCAGTGTGTTTAGTTCTGTCTTGTTACACGACGGGAAACAAGGCATGCGGTCGCCGGTAACAAAAGTATTTTCATTTTGTTGTCTCCTCCCACATCCGCACCTCCAAGATAAAAAAAACTTGTTCGCCATGTTACCTCGTACAGCAGGCGCCGTTCTCCACCACCGTCCATCAATATCCTGGCATTTTTCACTTTCCATACACCACGGGAATCGACCGTCAAGTGTTAGACTACAGCGGACAAGAGAAGGTCTCTGGGCAGAGAGAACGGAACGGTTTTTAATGTGCAGACAGCAACAACAACAACAACAACAACAACAACAACAACAACAACAACAATACATACCCCGTCACCCCCCTTCCTTTGGTATGTTTTCACTTCACCACGGCACGTAAACACGACGCTTCCTCCGTCTCCGCGTGCTTGGACGTAAATTTCCGAGAAGATTCTACGGCGTGGCGGAGGGGGAGGTGGTGGTCCTCGGGGCGGCGGAATTCCGAACGACACGGACGTTCGGGGCTTTCTGGGTCCGGAAGGAGAGAGTGGTGGGCGCTTTCCTGGAGGGGGGAACCATCGAGCAACAGATAGCTGTGGCACAGGTGCGTCGTGGGTAACGAAGAAGGGTGCGTATTTGGCGTACTGCTACTCTGCGGCGGCAGGCCTTTGCCGCCTAGCCTTAAGGGCCGTTTGTACTCAGCGTTTTGCTTCCAAATTTTCCGAATTTCCAAATTCCGACTTTCCAGATTTCCATTTTTTTTCGAAGCATGTTGGAACGAGCTCATCCCAATTTTTTCGGTGCTGCCAAAGTTTCCAATATTTTTTCCTCTGCCGCAAATCGAGGTTCAACGGTCAACGGATTCGGAAACTTGGAAAAGGAAGCACAATCACTGCGTATAAAACGGCCCTTGTGTGACGTCACGTTGGTTGGGCCGCCGGGAGTAGCTGGGTTCTGCGAGTGCAGCACCGCTAGGCGATTGCATGCAGGATATGAAAGTGTTTCAGCGTGATTCTGCCAGTGCAGCACCGCTCGGCGATTGCATGCAGGAAAGGAAAGCGCCTCATGTTCCGTGTGCAAGGAGATAGAAATGGTACTCTAGGCGCTTGCCTATTGGGGGTACCGTGGAAGACCTGTGTTGCGCAGCTCCGTTGGTCGTCGGCATCCGCAGTGGAGAGTTTTTTTTTTCCGCGTTAGCACCACTCCGGTACATCCGGCGGAGATAATATCCCCCTCAGGCACAGTACCACAGGAGGGGAGGGTAGGGTGAAACCCTTCTGAGTGACCACGGGTTGGAGTAAAAGGCACAAGTGCTGCAAGCTCTGATTTGAAGTCAAGACCAGCAAATCCCCGTGGTTTCAGTTGATCCGTACAGGCGCGCATGAGCAAGCACCGAAGACTCCGGCGACTTTAGTTCGGTTTGAGCCACATGCATGATGAACACGGCCGTGCTTCATTCACTGCATTCCGTGCTATAAACGATATGCAGGTGACCCGTCTTCGACCCAAGGTGTTTTCCTCACAACTCCTCAAAGGCTCCCAGCTCGGCGATTTCCTGGAGGTGCGTCGTTTGAGGCTTTCGGCGTCTGTCGGGTTGTTGCCGTTGCTTTCTCGTGGTGCAGATACACGGGACGGGACGCATTCCAGGGTTTCGGTGCACGTCGCGTTTTGGGTGTGGTTTCCTCGTGGTGCAGATTAATGGGACGGGACGCATTCCAGGGTTTCGGTGTACGTCGCGTTTTGGGTGTGGTTTCCTCGTTGTGCAGATTAATGGGACGCATGGTATGTCGCGTTTACGGTGTGGTTTTCTCGTGGTCCGGATTAACGGAACGCCCGCTCCAGCGGAGAGGTTGCCGTCCTCAGCTGTCCCGGGGCCCCGTCAATGTGATTTTTGCTTCAACTTTTTTTTTTCACAGTTCAACCTTGTAGATAAGGAAACCTTGGCGGTGCCGCCCCCGACTGCTGTAAGCTTCCAACCCTCCCCTCTAGCCTTCAAAGACACCAAAACCTCGACATGTGCTTTTTAGCAACCTTATACGAGCTTAGGCAACGCCGTTTGCTACAACTGTGCCGCTGATCAGTTTAGGCGTTTAGGGCGAGATCTGGTTGCTTGAAGCTTACGTTACGAGCACACTCTTTCCGAAGAGAATGTTTGGTGAACAAGGCCAGCAACACGTGCTCCAGTTGCCGACAGCGACAGCTCAGCACAACAACCACCCTGCTGGAAATCGCCAGAGCCTACCGATGTGATGTGCTAGTGGAGTCGCATGCCTTGGCAGCAGCAGCAGGCAACCAAAAACCAAAAACGGCGCTGCAGGTTTTCCTGTGAACTGTATGTAGATGCATGGAGTAGCCCGAATGGTACCAAACTGCCGGATATTCTGGGTACGTTGAAACATCGCCGCGTTCTCCACGTGAGTTTCCCCGATGAACAACCGGATTGAACGCGCATCAAGATGATTTTACCTGGCATGGCCCTACTATTATAGGCCAAAAACATGGAGAGTTGAGACTGGGCACATTTTGATTTTTCGATCTACGGTCCAATATAGTACGAAATAAATACTCATACTTCGCAGTGAAAAGACGCCCAATGTAAAACTCCATTTGTGCAAATCCGTAACTCCACGTTCAAGTTTTTTTTTTTTGCGAAATGCCCTTCCTTTTTGGCTCTATCGTGTTGTGGTGAGGAGCATTGCGTAGCCTTGAGGCGGCAGCAGTGTTCAACTGCTCCCGCTCATCTCTCCTTTGACCGGCAACCGCCGTTTCCCAAAACCATCACGCGGAGGTGTTGGCGTTCATTTCTCGCTCCACGGCAGTTCGGACAGCCGACACGATCCGACGTTCATTTGTGTCTGTTGCTGCAGCCATAGGTGCTATTGCGGCAGCAACAGGTGACCTATGGCTGTGCAGCATTAGACCCTTGGTCGATGAGCATCGCATCGTGTCGGCTGTTCGAACTGTGAAGCGGGAAATTAAGGCCGAACGCCTTCCCGCGTGAGGGTTTGTGAAACACCGGGATTTGGGGCAAATAGTTGTGAGCAATCGAGAACAAGCCGCCGTTTCCGAAACCTCACCAAGACGGTGTCGGGGTTCATTGCCCGCTTTCACGGGTCGGATGCCCATTACGATGTGGCGCATGCAGACGAAGGGCCTATCGCTGCAGCAATAGGAACACAGTAGGGCCTATTTTGCTGCCAGCACTAGGCCCTCGTCTGCATTCGTGGCCGCGTGATGGAACGCCGACTTGTGAAGCGAGTGATGAAGACCATCGCCTTTTCCGCGTGAGGTTTTGAGGAAAGGTGGGTTTGAGGAAAGAGAGGCGAGCAGTCGATCATAGACCGCCGTTTCCCCGACCGTCACGAGGAAGGTACCGGTCTTGAATGCTCTCTTCACCGTTGCATTAGCCCACGCGATGCGGCGCATGCAGACGGGGGCCTATTGCTCCCGCAATCGACGTAGAGTCTATTGCTGGCAGCACTAGACCCTCGTCTGCGTGCGCCGCATCGCGTGGACTAATGCAACTGTGAAGCGGATATTGAAAACCGATACCTTCTGCGTGAGGGTTTTGGAAACGGCGGATTTGCGGCAAAAGCAGGTGAGCAATCGATTATTTTATGACATGGGTCGCAGAGAGGTTGGTATCTAGACCCACAGACGTTGCCGCGTGCACGTTTGTAGTTGGGGCAGACAACCAAACGATTTGGGACATTTGTGTTATCCCGTAGCGATCGGCGGGCCATGAAGTTGCTGCTAATGCCTTGCGCTTGGGCACCCGTCGCGCTCGCCCCCTTTCCCACCTTTCTTCCCATTGTGTCTGGCGCCCGACCCATGTCGTGCGGCTACGCAGGACCCCGGCAGCATCGAGGCATCCGACGAGACGGATCTGTCGCAGCTCCTTATGTGCTGCCGCTGCGTTTAGTCTCGCCGGAGGAGGGGGCGTGCTTCCCCTTTTCACCAGGAGGGAGTGCCATGCTCGAGTTCGCCTGCTGCTTTGTCTGAACCTTGGCGAGAGCCAGATGTGTTTTTCCTGGAAGAGAGTTCACCCTGGGACAGCAGAATAAAAAGTTAGTCGAGATCCTTTACGTGTGGTTCTGGGTAGCATGTTCAACCGCTAAATATTGAGTCCGATGTACGTTGTAGAGCCATCAACATTGCTTATCGTTGTGTTGAAGGCTTCTCCGATCGTAGAACAATGTTGTCGATGTGGACGTGTATGTTTGCTTGCTTCTGGTCGCCGTCGAATCGTCGCATCCATTCCTTTGTTGTCGTCTGGGCAGTACTGTATAGCGTAGGACGTATGTAAGGGTCCAAGTGAAATCTGTAATTGTGCTTTGCTTTATAATTTAGGATCGTCGATGCACCGGCGGTGGAGATGCACCTAATCCAACAGTGTAAACAGGGGCCCCATGGAGGGCAACATAATAGTACATGAAACGCTCCGAGACCGGGCAGTCCTGGAAGTTCTCCACGAGGCATGACTTTGTTAGCATGGCTCATACGTCGGAGACTTGAAATATAACAGAACGATCGAGCCAGAGTGCGCCCTAGCTACGAAATGCACTCGCTGTTGTGACCAATCATTGCGTAGATGGACTTGATTCTCTCGCCGGTTATGTAGTGAAAATCGTCCACGTGGATACGGTAGAGAAACAAGGGCAGATCTTCCCAATTTCCTCCACGAATCCGAGCGGGCGTTTGTGGGTGCCAAACCAGGTTAGATGTGTCAATGAAAGCATGCTACAGGATTTCCGCTAGTCTTTTTGATCGGTCCGCCGTGCGTGAATCGAAGATCCCGAACGCCAGTTCACACCTCACGGGTGTAACATTCATTCGGGTCCGTTTATGAGTTAAATCAAGTCGATTTCAAGTGGAATCAATTTGACTTCGTTGTGTTTTAGTGGGTGTCGTGCCGTGTATTCTGGTGCCAGTCTACGCCTTTTGGTATTTGTAGGTAGCTGACAGGAGGAAATGTACACTTTCTAAGGCATAGCGAATCGTTTTTTTCGCACAAAGCGTTGAATCTTGGCGAGGTACCCTCACAGCAAGTATTCCGCTGACGGCCACTCATGTTCTGATGTAAACACAACGAGCGTTGGTGAACTGGTGTCAAAGCGATGTCGTCCTTCTCTCTCCGCCACGCAAATGATGCCCATGTCGGCATCATTGTCGTTTCCCTGTGACCTACACGACTCCGTTGTGATTCTCGACTTACTCTACCGCACCACCACATATTTATTTTTGTTATGTTACAGCACCTCGTCGTCCTTATATATTCCGCATGAGGGCCGCTCTCTAGGCGCTAGGCTGCGATGGAGAGCACATTTACTTGTAGCAGTTTGTGAGTTCGGTTCTCTCTGTGGATGAAAGCCACACTTTGAAATGTGCCGTAGAAATGAGTCATTCGCGATCATGGGGGGCAGATAAAACCCTCTCGCGATGAAAGCTCAACGGGCGGTACACTAGACACCGACGGGGAGAGATAGTCCTTGCATCCGTGCGAGGCTACGGGCTCAACAGGGGAAACGCCGAACCGATCCAGGCTGACAACAGGTGGCGCTGTCCGGGCCTCGGCCCTGGTTGACATATCCTGTATAAACCCGGCTAATACGTCAACAATGAACACCGAACGGTGCATAGACTGGCGCCAGAATACATTGGACGAACACACACACCACGTAGGGCATCATGCCGTGCAGACGGCTGAGTCCAATTTCTTACGCCGTTTGTCTGTGTATGTACTGGACAAAAACTCAGCAAAAAGAAAAATGATAAAAACCGCCGTTCAATAGAGTGCCAATTTTCAGCAAGATTCAAGAGCCTACGGATGGCTTGACCTCAGCCAATAAAGAACATCCCATATCCTGTATGAGGCTGTTGGTACGTCCAACATGTGGAAGTTGCAACGCTGACGTCCAGAATAGATGGAGGGCAAGACGCACACTATACCCGCTCTACCATGCTTGGCTCGACGCAGACATTCATAATGCGTTACCCGTGTTCCGGTCGGCAAACACTCACGGGTGTGGTGAAAGCAAAAAAATCGATTCTTGTGTTCCATGCATACTGTTACTTTATTTTTGTCCGCGCAAACTTCGACCCCACCCGTCGGTGCCGCTCCATTCTGTATTCATGCTAAACACAAGACAAAAGCAGCAAGAAGAGGGTTATAGGAGCAAGAACTCTTCTTGTCGAGTAGAACAAGCCACAAATCGGACTTGCGATGCCCCTACGCTTTTAGAAAGTCGAAGGACTTCCTCCAACCCAACTCACACAGTACACTGGCTAAACCCCGAAGCCCACGTTGGTCCAGCCATTCCTGACCAATGTGCTCGAAATCGTCCATCCATTGGTTTGTCTTTTGTCCGGCGCTATCCTTACACGACAAGTGATCGCCCCCCTACCCTGTTTCGCTCGAAACTCCGTTTGTTGCATGAAACCACGGACTCGAATTCCTCGGCCACAACTATACAAGCAAGACACCTACGTAATCGACAATCCAGATGCGTCCGTATACACCATCGTGGAACCAAAAACGAAACAATGCGGCACAGCCAAGGCGCAGAGCCGTCAAATCAACAGTCTACTTCTTCTCCCCCCCTCCGAAGAAACTGCTGAGCATGTCACCCATCGCCTCTGCTGGGTCTTTCGCCCCGGCTGCTGGTTTCTTGTCCCCCTTCTTGCCCACTTCTTCGTCCGATACTTCCTTGTCGGCCGCTTCGAATACCTTCGGGAAGACAACATTTGAAACGTGACGTTGTCGGTACATACAGTAGTGGGTCTGCAACGCCGGCGGGATCGTCTGGCACAGATGGAATATTCGAATATTCAAGTTCATTCATACTCCGAATAATGCTGGTTGCACGCTATAATGCAGGTGAAGTCGGCTGGATCGCACAATGCCGGTGAAACCGGCTGGATAGCACCGGCATTTTACCGGTACCACCATTGTACACGGAAAAAGTACGTTTAAGGATCATGACCCCCAGACAGAAAGAAAATATTGTAGGCTATGTATCGTGCGCATGATTGAGCACACGGGGAAACGTGTGTTAGAGGATCATGACCCCCGCATTCCCACATAACTCATACGTTGAACAGCAACGGCTTGTGCTGAGCGTCGAGAAATGCGTCGCTCCGTCGGTGTAAGGGGAGCGGGGAAGATAGGGGGGGCATGATTGAACTTTGAGGTTAGACTTTCAGTCGGGAGGGGGACGGACAACATTCACGAAAAAGTGCCACAAGGGAAGAAACAGACACGTACTGTGGTGCATCAGCTATAATAGAGCAGAATCAAAATATCAAATAGCCCATGATCCTCCGAAATTCTGGAGACGGTCTTCGAGGTAGCAAAAAAACAATTAAGGACGAAGTCCACCGGTTTTCAGTTAGTGTGAGGAAGGGTCGGTAGTTCTTCGTCAGCGGCATCGCTAGTCCCCTGTGCACTACCTCCAAAATCAAAGCCATACGAGATGGGGAGGGGAACTGCATGGGGTAGAGCGCGCGGTGCGAGTCTTAGTCTTCCAACCTGGTGGCCCCGAACGACGGCTCTTGAATTTGGAAGGAAGGGGCTCTATCGATAAACACAGGGGCCAGTTTTATCAACTGCGCAAAGGATATCGGACGCCGCACAGACAATGTGTTGGCTCATTCAATGCTGATGAGCTTCATCAAAGGGGTGTCTCTGAAGACACTCTCTGACCTTCAGTTGAAATGTACACAACGGCGGTGGGCGGGGTATGGGCGCTTCTTTACTCGGCATCGACACCGGCCGACCAAATGAAAATACGCCAGTCTTGTATTGGGACAAAAATGTATCCAGCAGCTGTCCCCCAACCGTCGCTGTGAAGTCTTCAACAAAACCTTTGGAACGGGGTATTTTCTCGAACACGCCTTCTTTGTCAGCTGGCTCTCTCGAGAGGAGGCCGTGAGGGAGATGGGATGAAAGGGCAACGGTCCGGACTCCGGCTTCGGAGATTTTGAAAAAGGAACTACAAGTACTACAGCGGCAGTAGCTCGTAAGATCAGTGTCTAGCATTTTCCTGAGGCACCTGTTCCTTACCTGGGGTCGTCAAACTAACACAAACACGCTGTGCCGCTTGCAGGTTTCATAACGTTTTATGGACGTTGAGGTTGTGACCGAAACAAGGCCTTGTAATCTCGGCCACACCCACAAAGTCCGTCGTTCTGCCCTCTCCAGGAAAATTATCAGGAAAAATAAATACAAACACAGAAAGACTACCCGTTCGAGATATAACCACAGTCGAACAGGATGTGTTAAGAGTCTTTGCAGTGAGTGGAGGGAAACCGGCTGTGGGTACTGGGCGTATTTCGAGTCTCCTCTTGGGCCAAGGTTTGTTCGAACGGGCAAGATTTTGGCCCTGGTGAAAAAGTTGGGGACAGTACCTGATGGAAACTTGTATGTAGTCTAAACAGCCGAACACAATCTTCTCGGGGGAATCTTGGCCAAGAACAAGATTAAGATTTGACTCCAAAATACTTTGTCCTCCATCTACACATGTGACCGCTGTTCGCACTCTACGGCGGTACAGAGTAGTCTCGACGTAACATGATGCGTAGTCTAATGGTCTATAGTACGCTGCTGGCAAGTGTCTTGACATATTTCGAGTACTTGCGTTGAATAACGCACCTAGTCAGGTATCAGCAACTAGAAAGCCGGTCAGGTGATACAGAGTTTGTACCCCATTCAATTCGGGTGTAGCATGATGGGAGATACATACAGTAGCGCGTCCCAACGCTTGACGCGTGCAGCATGCTTACAACAGCAGCAGTGCCCAGCAGTGCCCACCTGGTTGAACGTGCACTTTGTTCTCTCTACTCAGTATACCCTACGCTACCGCACAGACCACACAAACAGGCCTATATACTACATACCTCGAACATCTGTTCCAAGTCGAGATCCATAGGCTCTTGCTCCTCGTCCCCGTCCTCCTTCTCGGCGAACAGCATCACCGCACGTCTGCCGCTGCTGCTGCGGCTGATGATGCTCTGGGAAGCAACGCTCGTCCGCGCTGCTGAACGGAGGCCTACGGCCGCAGAAGGGAAGAGGAAAGCGCTCGTGGAGGACGAGCAGGCAAGGGCCCCTGCTGCAATGAACGAAGTTACGGAGGTCCTCATGGTGCTCGGCCTTGCCAACTCTCTCTAAACAGCTTGTTGGTCTGCGGTAGTGGTGCAGTGCCGGCCCACCTCGACACATGTAATGAGAACTACGGAACCCCGATGGGGGGGGGGTGGGGGGGACGCGGAGGTGTGTGATCTCCGTAGATGGCTATGCGCCCGCGGTTGCATAACATGGACAGAAACAGGGACGCCCACGACCTCGCGGCAGAGACGGGGACAGCGGCGAGCGCGTGGAGTTGGGGCGGAACTCCAGGGGTTAGTGGTCTTGTGCCGCCTGGAAGGAAGTTGGTGGGCGAAAGCACATGGACCAGCAGCCGGGAAAGCAACAACGGCAGCAAGTAAAACAGAGCAAGTGTGCGGCAGGATCCTGAGAGGGTCTCGACGTGGGCGAGTGCCTGCTGGGCAGGTACGGTGCACAACAGCGTCGGCATCCTACCAGGTAGATATTGCCGTTCTGTGTGAAGTATCTCGACTGCAAGGCGCGGTAAGTGCATCCCGGGTCATTGCGTTCAGAAAATTAGCATCGTCGTGGGAAATGGGTACAGCAGGTAGAGCGGGCTTGTGTTCTCGTCCCAACATCGCCACGCACCCCCGCCCATGGCTGTACCTGCTCTTTTTCAGCAGTAGCCGCAGGAACGGTGTAGCATGGAGCCCAGACCGTATCAGGCCGAGGCTTTCGATGCAGCAAGGAAGGCGAATGTGGTCATGGTCGGGGCAACCGGCGTCGGAAAGGTGAGGAGAGAGAACATCCACCTCCACAGCAGCAACAGCAGTATCATGCGTCTTGCCGACATACCACATGGATAACGACCAGTGCAACATCGTGTCGTAGACGCGGTGCGGTGTCCCTGTCATGTTGATGAAAATAAATACCCATAATTTTTTAAGGGAAAAATCGCGAGCGAGAGGATTCCTTTGTAGAGGGGCCCTTGAACGACGGGCCCTGGCCTGGGAAAGACCTGACGTTTTTTCACGAGGTGCACATAGGCCGGGCTGCGGTAAGATTGATTGCCTTGCGTGATGCCTTCGTAGATCGTCCTGGTGGTGCCGAACCCGCCAGAGCCTTCAGTCAGAGGCTCACTCAAGAAGAGGGCTGCAACTGCATCGCCACTGCTGTTGGCCAGATAGCAAGTGCTCTACATTGTAGTCGTCGCAGTTTACCCAAATCGTCATCGATCAATCTATCGGACAGCAAACCAGGTACCACCGATCCATGTTGACTATTGCCGGTATGATGGCACGCGGCTGCCGGCACGCTTGAGAAGTGCTCTTCCACCGATACCTTCTAGGGTTTTTGTCATCGGCCATCTGTAACCGAGGGATTGTCGAAATATTTCACTCGGGGTTACATGTTACTCGCCTCGAGATGACTTCCTCCCGAGCGTTTCGTTTGGAAAAATGCCGTCGGTCTTGCCGGCAGAAGGAGTTTGACGGCCATAGTTGTAGCCTCCGTGGTGGTACTTTCGCCATCTCGCACTCTTTACATGCTTCAACGTCTTACTTCTTAGCGAGGGAAACCTCCAGCAAGGCGCTTCCGGTACAGAGGAGGCTAGTTTGTCCCACGACACCACATAGCCCCGTGCAATCGTTACCTACAACGCATGCATTAACCTCTTGTCAAGGACTCGGCTGTACTTGAGAGGAATACTACCAGGAATACACTCAAAGTTGACTGCTGTGCAATTCCATAGTTCTGCGCTCTTTTCGCCAGCGTAGGAATGACCGTACCCCGCCAGTTGGTTGTTTCCAACTGTTCGCCGCCGGCTAATGTTACCCTCAAGTCCCTGGTACTCTTCTGTGCTCCGTTGTTTTTGACGTGACGGCCCAACACGTTGCAACTTCGGCACCGCCCTCGACATACTTGCTGCACGCGGTGCTGCTGCTTCTGGTAGACCCTGGTATCCCTGATGCTCATCCGCGACTTTTACTTCGAGGATGCCCGTCGGAGGGAGTCCAAGAACCACAAGTGGTGCATCTTCCTCTGCCCCACGCAGGAGCTAGTTTTCCAGCAGGCCAAGAGCGCGCAGATCTTTACGGGGGTGCGATGCGGTGAGTAGCTAGATTCGGTCGAATCGTCTGCCTGATATGCTTTTCTACCACGATCGTGTTTTTGTTCAGTCAAGCGGCTCGTGGCCTGGGTGGAAAGCGCTATTTAGTTCGTGTGTACACAGAGGAAGAAAGTGCTGCACTCTTCTCGCAATAGTAATCGAAGGGAAAAAGTACCGCAGGAGGGGTGGGCAGGGGACCTCAGGGAGAGCAACCCTTCTGTGTGACCACGGGTCGGAGTAAACGGCACAAGTGCTGCGAGTGCTGATTTGAAGTCAAGACAACAAAACAATAAAACGTGTTTGGCTGGAATTTCTTCGTTGTTCTCTTTTTATTGTTCCTTCGTTTTTGGTTTGACATGGCAAGCACTGACCCGCAATTTCTATCGAGGGAAGGATACGGCACTCCTCGAAAACCGATTTTTCTTAGGTCCATATGGCAATTTTGACCCGCGGAGCCCCTTCTGGGGTATCATCTCATCCTCCCCACAAGGACAGCGGATTGTCGCCGAAGCAGAGAAGAAATGTTCTTCAGCCATCTTTACCCTCCACCCTCAGCCTGCAGACGCGCAAAGACTGAACGGGAGAAAAGGCTGCGCCGTTGCCGCTGGCATCAGATGTGTTTACTGTTGATTCGTGTGAGGTCTGCAGCTCTCGAGACTAACGTCTCACCTGTCTGGTCGCAGAGATTGTATGGCTGCTTGACTTTTTTCGGCTACAGTATATACCATAAACGTATGGTAGTATGTTTGTGTGACGGGGACAGCGATGGGGTGCGGGGGTAGGGCACTTCGTTTCGCCAACTTTCTGGCCTCGTGATTCCACCCTTCCCTTCCCGCACTCTGGGCTGAAAGGGAGCTGAATGCGGTAAGTTGCGTCGCTCGCTTTCTCCCTCTCTCTCTCTCTCCCTCTGGCAATGATGCATCATCGAATGGGGAAATCTCTCAACGCCCGCATCATCCGCGTGTCGCAAAACAGAACGTGGTGAATTGCGATCTGGGCCTTGCCGGACTGCCTTGTGGACCACTACCTAACGCGTTCCATCCCGGCCTTGCAGGGATTCAGAGACTTGTCGGAATGCGCACGTTTAACGGCCATGCGCCACAACCCCTGACCCCGCTTCGCGTGGCAACCAGTGTGCCCCCAGCCCCCACCCACCCCCCGACCCATGGCTGTTCCGTTGTGTGCTGCCGACGTTTTGTTTACCCCCTTTACCTGTTTGTCTGTGGCTGTGTGCCGAACCCCGTTGTATATGGTTGAACCTGTTTTTTGGTTCCTGGATGAAGGGCCTTACGTGGGGAAAGACCTGGATTATTGGGGAGTGAAGAAGTGGAAAGAAGAAATGGACAAGTGAGTGCTTGCTTTCCTTCCCGTGAGCGTGTGCGTTCCTTCCGCCATGTCCTCGCGGTTATGCCATTTTCTCTCCGGGATGGCAGCAGCCGCCTTCACGTTTTCTATCGCTGCCTGCCCCTCGAGCGGCTTGGCGTTTCCTTCGTTTCGCTCTGTGATGCAGCGTTGCTCGCCGCTTTGTTCCGGCGTTGTTGTGCCGCCTGTGCTGCCCGTCGCCTTGTCGTTGTATCCTCCCTGAAACTCCCTCGTACTGCCTGCACTGGCGTCACTTTTTGCCGAGTATTTTCCCGTGTCGGGTATTCGCAGCAAGAAGACCTCTGTTTGTGGTGCCATATGTATCGTACGGTAGCACTCCCTTCCCCTCCGTCTATTCCCCGCCCCTGTCACTGTCGAAATCGCTCCAAAATGGTTCGGCCTACGAAAAGGAGGTGATCGGCTTGCGCTCAAGGCACAGAGGCTCACCAGTGTCGCGCCGTAGCTTGACAATCATCTTTTTGGTGTCGAACGCAAGCCAGTTGTAACGTTTTCCGGCAGTGTGTCCCTGTTATGCCCCCCCCCCCGGGTTTTCAGCTCTCTTCCCCCCTCCCCCCTCGGCCTTGTTTGCCATCGGGGTTTGGGTTTTCGTCGCTTGGCAACGACGTTGTAAAACAAGCCGCCCCCCCCGGTGTTTGCCATCGGGGTTGGGTTTTCGTCGCTTGGCAACGACGTTGTAAAACAAGCCCCCCACTCGGTGTTTGCCATCGGGATTGGGTTTTCGTCGCTTGGCAACGACGTTGTAAAAGAAGCCAATTCACTTCGTGAACTCGGCAACCAGGTTACCGTTTTTTTTTTTACCTCGGTTTTTTTTTTTGGCGGTAACCAAAATGGTGGTCGAGTAGATCATGTTGTGCGGGGTCGAGAACCCTCACTCCGCGCAACGGGGGATGATCGCACCACGTTGTGTTAAAATGGTCAAGCTTCCTCGAGGCAGTTACACAGTGCTTACAACTGTCAATGGAAGTGAAAGCACCAGAAAATAAACTAAGTCATACGTAGCTGTCATCCGTACGCAAGGAAGTAAGCCAAGATGCCGAACACCCTTAGCAGGATGCAGCTCACCCTTCATGCGACTCGCCAAATACCTCACGGCGCTTCGCGCTTGGTGATGTGAGAGCCTGGTCCGGTGAGAACCCGGCGTGCTCCGTCCCGGCTTTGTAGGGATGCGAGGTCAATGGTCAAACGACTACGGCATGCACGACTATGAGTACACCCCCCCCCCCCGGGTTTTCAGCATGGGTGTGTAGGTGGTTGCTCTCAACGCACCGCTGTAAAGAAGCGCAAATTGTTGCTCACCACATATTTGTCCTGACGGCAACTCTTTTGCAGCCCTCAGCCAATCCTTGTGAGCTTGTGCCCTGATATTTCTGGCCTTCCACCAGTGTTGCCTCTGGCTTTTGTTGGTGTTTTTGTGTGGATAGTCTAACTGTGAAAAAAAACGTGGAAAGCGATACGTGCGACATTAACAAAATTCACCTTTAACACCTTTGCCCCTTTACCGTACCCGCAAAATTTGTTCCCATACACTCTCGGTTCGTATTTTCAGCAAAGAGGTTCTCGTGATGACCCCGAACGCCTTGCTCAACCTCCTGCACCGCGGGAACGAGTACTTGTCGCTCAAGGACGTCGGGGTGTTGGTCTTCGACGAGTGCCACAAGGCCAGGAAAAAGCACCCCTACGCCCGTGTCATGGCCTTCTACCTCGAGCTCAGGAAGAACAGGGGGCCCCTACCCAAGGTACATCGCAGTGTTGTGCCCCCAACTTTGTTTCCACCCCTATGGTGGGCGGCGGTCGATACTTTATTGACACTTTTCTTGTCAGCTTACCCCGAGTCTCTCCGCCAAGCTCGCGTCATTTGTGGCCTTCTGGCCAAGGTCATGAGCCGAAGAGCCCGGTTCTCTACTGCAGATGTTACGCATCGATTTCTGGTTTACAGCTCCATTGATCGGGCATTTTGTGTTTGGTTCTATGATAGCATTTTGCAGTACCTGCGTTCGACATTGTGTTTGATTTGTTCCAATCTGTGCATAGGCGAGGAGCGAAGAATTTCCACCGCCGCCTAGGATAGCAGTGTGCCCTTAAATGTTTGCATCCGTAGGGAGACGCACACGTGCATCCCCTGCTGTACCAGTGGGTGGCGACCGTGATAGCTCCCGCGGTAAAATTATCAAAAGAACCCCCACCTGCCCCCGTGTCCCCCCCCCGTTTTGAGCTGTTCAACAATTGTTTCCAGCTTTTCAATACTTGATAATTATCAGCAGCACAGCACCACAACATAGTCCTCTATTCCGAGTACACGAAGCTAGTAGGAGGCCCTGACATCACGCGACAACAAGCAGAGTTCTTGCTGATTCGGGTCCCGAACGACCCGCATCAGCACTAAATGTGCTTGTTGTCGCAAACCACTCTAACGCAGTTTTGAGTCCGATTTATCGAGGGCGAATGACGACCAAAACTGATGTGATGTTGCCTGGAAACGCTCTGACACCACATGTTTTGAGCTCCGTTGCTGGCAGAGTATGAAGTCTCCGAGAACCAGCATGCGTAGAGCTAGCCGCAGTTGTCATCTACATTCGCCGTCCAAGCTCGTGGGTGGCGGGAGATGTGTGAGACACGAAGGGAACCGGTTTCTCACTGGCGACCTTCCCGGCGTTTTTTCCCGTTTTTTTCGTCTCTCGCTATCAATGTGGAGTTCACCGTGGTTCGACTCAAGCTGATTGACATAGACTGGTCTGCGAACCCGCCAGCGTGTGTGTGCGTGACGCTTTGCTGGTCAGATGGCCGTGTGTGTTGTGTGCAAGGCCATGAAGCCTTTGACGTTCGTCAACAAGTCGACCTGTTTCGTGGAGCTGTTTGAATGGCGTATCAGAACGGACGCTCTTGAGTGATTCATCAATGTTTTTAGCAGTTGTTCTGCTTTCGACCCCGGACACGCTTTGGCGTCGAATTCGACCGTAAACTCGGGATCCAACTGCTCTCACTGCCGCCGTACGTAGTCTAGTCATTTTTGGCTCCCTCCCTATCAATCTCCCTCCCTCATGACGGGACTGTGCAAAAGATGGGAACTAGGCTTTAGTTGAGGTTGGGGGTGCCCCCCGCGCTGTTTCCTAGTATGTTTCGTCGAAGTTTTTTTTTTTCCTCGCGTATGCTCGATTTCTCGGGGAGGAGCGGTGGCTGCTATTCCAACACCATATAGCTCTGCCGTATCCAAGATGATTCCGGTGAACCGCACGTGCCCGTTGGTGGTTCCTTATAGCGAGATAGGCTGGTAACGCATAACAGATGCCAAAAGAAAATGAATTATGGGCACATGAGGAAGCCCTAAAGTTTGGCCGGCGTGGGAGCTTGCCGGCATCGAACGACAACGATGGGGGGAACGCCAGGGGACGAGGCAGAAAACTCTCGAATGAATTGACCGCAAGAGCAAGGGGCGCCAACGTGTTGCGGCGGGTTTATTTTTTCCCTATGGTTGTTGTGGCGTTCTCGATCGGTGTTGCCCACTTTGACCGAGCGTGTGCGGGGGAAGGTCGTCGAGCCCAGCACCCGCTGCGCTTGCCCGCGAAATATGATAGAAGTAGAACGTTGTTGTTCAAGCTCTCGAAGCGCGCGAATTCGTACTCTGGAGACTACCCGGACTATTGGAAGCTCTCAGAAAGGGTGTCGTCAAGATCTCAGAAACGGTGTCGTCAATCGAAAAGGGTGTCGTCGAGAATGCCGGCGCAGGGAGATTTATTTTCAAGTTGTTTTCTCCGTTCCCGGATGTCCAGGTCTTCGGCATGACGGCTTCTCCCACGATCGAGTGCGTGGAGGTCCTGCAGTGCAAGGCCTACGTGTGCGAGGACGACCTCATCGAGGAGTTTCAAGCGAACGCCGACTGGGAACTCCTCTCCTACGAGGTGTGGCCAGTCGAGAAAGCTAGTTTTTCCGTGTGGACGCTTTTCAAGCCTTCTCGTGATGTTGTGTGGCCGCTCGAGAAAGCTAGCTTGCCCTGTGAACTCTTCTGCAGCCTCCTTGTGATGCTCCGGGCGTCTGTCACGCCCTCCTCCAATACCACACCCTATTCTACCGCAAGGCACATGCCAAGTTCTGGTTCCTTTCCACGCCATGGGTGTATATGTTTGACGCATCACCCGGGCTAACACAGGCAATACGCACTTTTGTTGTTGCCTTTCCCCTTGCTGTTTAGAAGTCATTACCCTTCCGCCGTGAGACGAAACACGTGCTTCGTTTCGTCCCGGTGTTCACGCCCTCCCACAGAGACTATTACAGGCTATACAAAATAGACTGGTCATATTCGTCTTTACTAGTCCGCCTCCTGCTTCGCGCCCTCCCAGAGGCTGCACTCAACTGCCACAAGGCTGGTCATGCTAATTTTGAAGTGTTTTTTCGCACCCCTGCAATGCTGTTGATCAGATATTCACCCCCTCCCAGACAGTGGTGGACGAACTGGAGTCCCTGATGCGAATGCTCTTCTCGGAGAGCATGTGCGGCTTCGGAGACTCCAAGGTTTGGTTATTTTGCCGTCGCTGCGGCTCCTGCGCCTGTTGCATCTGCCGCCGTTGTCTCTCTTTGAACCGCCCTGACCCCTCGCCCAGCCTCTCCCTGTACAACCGTAACAGAACCGGCGGTATGTGACGCTCACTGTCCACCTGTGCTTTGTTTCGGGAACGTGGGTGCTCAATCTTTAGGCCTGTAATCTGTTGGCGATTAGATATACAAAATTTTCTTCCACGCTATTTTCAGACAACCGAAATCGACAACAAGAATACAAGGCAATCGCCTACGGTGTACAGTCCTGTCACTCCTCGTTCGTGCTTTGTTGCGACGCCTGCGCGCGTGCAGGAAAAGTTTGTGGAGGCAGTGGTGGGGCCAGTGCTGTTCTCCTACCAGCACCTCGGCCTGTGGTGCGCCATGAGACACATTGTCATGTTCTGCGAAGGTAAATAGATGCGGTTAGCGCCCTTGGGTTGTTGTTGTTGTTGTTGTTGTAATTGTTGTTGTCGTTGTTGTCGTCACATTATAAACCTTTTCAATACCTTTACCCAATACCTTCACGTGTCCGTACTAGTCTAACACTCGACGCGGTCGATTCCCGTGGTCACAGGCTAACTAACGGTATACTCGAATAAATGGACCTGAAGGGTCCTTGGGTAAAAAATGTCAATTTCGTGTTAAGGCTCTGTTTATTTCTCTGTCCATCGCGATCGTCAAGTAGAAAATGGGCCGCCGCTCATGATGTAGTCGGACTATTACACATAGGCTACAGTAAACGTTGATGGCGACAGCAGAGCCGAGGTTAACAACACGTTGTCAAGAACCGAACCTGACGAGTTGGTGTGAACTCTTGGTTCGTTCGCCGTTTTTGCCCTAATCGCTTCTTTTTGTTCCCAAGGGTTTCTGCGGAGCCGCGTAGCGGAAAATCTGCCGGACAGAAGCAGGATCACCCGCACCAAGAAGGTACAGTATGCGTTGTAGCAGGTATTCATGTAGCGGGTAGATTGACGCGCTAATCTCGCTGCTTTTGAGTCGCCTCTGTCTCGCGTGCCGTTTCAGGAACGCTCTTACGTTTTCTTGTCCTTTTTTTTTGTGTGCGCTCTTGTGGTTTTCCGAACCTCCATACCGTTAGTAACGGCGCGGCGGCGTTTTTGTAGCCGTATCCGATATACCCGTGTCAAGTTACTCGCCAGTTGTTGATTTCACACTGCCGTCCTTTGGTCACTGATGGTCGACCCCAACGTAAGGCAGTCATCCCTTGGCTGAGGTCGTTCAGTGGTTTACCTTGTTTCACTTCTCAGAGCGTGTTCCTATTTTCAGACCGTGTGCCACACTTTTCACACCGTATTCAACACTTGAGGCCGTGTTCTACATCTCGGACCGTGCTCAAACCTTTCAGCCTCTTAAACCCTCCACCGTACCGCAAACCCCTTGCATTATCCTCCCGCTGTCCGCGTTCCTCTGAGTTCGAGCGTTTTCTTGACGCAGCGTTTCCTCCAGAAATCACTTGCCGTCCTGCCGTCGCGCCACAATATGTCGTTGTTGTTGTTGTTGTTGTTATCTTCACATAACAAATCTCGGAGTAGTTTTGTGCCGATGCCATAAGGCAGTCGCAGTCGGGCTTTGTGAACACCTGTTGTGCTCAGAAACGTAGGGACAAGCTTCCTGGGTTCTCCACAAATGGCCAAATACCGCTTTGAACTCGCTGGTTGCTACCCACGAGGATTTTCCTGTGCCCCGCCACACAGTTGACCTCACCTCACGCCGTGCCCACACGCTCCATGTTCACCCCGCTGCGAACCACACTCGAAACACTGCCCCCACGCCCCACCTCCCCTCCCCACCCCCCCCTCGTTTAATATTACACCGGTACGCAATGGACGGACCTCTGTCGTTGTTGTGGTTGATCGATACACCCTGGGATTGTCACTATTTTAGGTGGTTCTCCAGCTCACGCAACACCTCACGGAAAGCCCTCTCGGGCTGGCGGTCTGCGGGATCGAGCGCGCCCCGCGCTCTTCGTCCCCAGCCGTTCCGCCGGACACCTCTGGGCAACCGGGGGCGGCGGCGGCTGACGGGGGCGGCGATGGCGGTGGTGACGGTGAGAATGGTTGCGGTGCTGCAGCAAGCACCCCGGGGGGGGGACGGGAGACGAACGGAGGGGGCGATGGCGCTCGCATGCTTGTGGAGAACGGCAACGACAGCGGCATCGACGGCCGTGGTGCAAGCAAGGGCGTCTGTGACGGGGCCTCTGCGGTCGCTAATGGTGGCGATGGTGTCACCGTCAGTGAGGATGGAAATGCCGTCAAGTCAACCGCTGCAGCGGCGGCGGCGGCGGCGGCGGCGGCGGCGGCGGCGGCGGATGATGCCGGTCAGGGCCTGCCAGTGCCCCGCCGAGGTGGTTCTGCCGGGGGGCGGCGCGCGGACGGCGGGGTAGCCCTTCGGCCTCTCGCTGGCACACCCGACGATCCCATGGAAGAAGACGGGGAGGAGAGAGAGGGGAAAGATTTGGACGGGGTTGAGGCACAGAACAAAGGCGGCGGCGGTGGCGGTGGTATGGCCGTCAACTCTCCTGGCAACGAGACCCGCGACGATCCGATGGAAGAGGACGGAGAAGGAGGTCGAGAGGAGCGAAAGGGACAAGAAGAGGACGGGACAGGGCGGCGTGATGATGGCGCTCGTCCGTCCGCAGGCAGCGCGGCCTCCGGTGTTGGTGCTGCTGGTGCTGCTGGTGCTGCTGGTGCTGCCGGCAACGGCAACGAGGAAGAGGATGGAGACAACGACGACGCTCATGCCGGTAGCGTCGGGGACCAAGCTGCCGGCGGCAGCGGCGGTGACGGTGCGAGTGGAGACGCGGGAGCGCCCCCTACGGCGGCGACGGCGGCGACGGCGGAGTGGGGCATGACCCCCGGACGCGTGATCACCCTCGTCAAGACCCTCCTGCGCGTCTCGGAGCAATGGGGAGACGAGGCGAAGAACTTCCGGTGTGTTTGGGTTAAGCGTTGTGTAAGGGTCATCTGTTGTGCGGGGTGGAAGTCAGTCTGTGTCAAGAGGGGGAGAGAGACTTACGTGTGTTGGGTTGTTGTTGTTAGCGTTGGGTTGCTCAAGGGCCACTTGTTGTGTGGGTTTGGAAGTCAATCTGTCCGGACAGGGGGAGAGACACTTAGGCGTCGTTGTTTATTCCATGGGTTTTGTGGTATCGTCGTTGATTGATATGACGTCACGATCACGTATTCCGTGGGTTTGTGGTACCATTGTTGGCCCTATCGCTTGATCTGACGGCACACTTGCGTTCTAGGCTCACGTTGAGCCTCACCAGCGTTTCAATCGCGGGGTGTGGTATTCTCTGTTGCAGGGGGCAAGCATACTTTTATGGGGGGTGTTGTCTTGCGTGGAACACGGGACACGCGGAACGAGCCACCAAAGCTTTCCATCCCTCGCCCCTGAAAATGATCAAGTCGACGAACAGGCGGAGCTACATAGTCTCCACGTTTGTCGCTACCGCAATCGTACGCTATGTATCTGCACCCAACGTAGCGAACCCATACGATGCCATGTGTTGCGAACAGGTGCATGGTGTTCGTGGAGCGTCGCGCTACTGCCAGGGTTCTGAGCGCGTTCCTGTCCCACTCCCTGTCCGGCCGCTTCTGTTGCGGGTGAGCCATAAGACCCAGACCGAAACGGAAGGGGAGTTTGTGTGGGGTGTGTGTGATAAGGTGGTAGGTCTAATAATACTAACTTTTGCAGCAAGGGTGTTTAGATGTTTGTTTATGCTCAAGAATTTTTCTCCGATGGAGACAGAGTCTGAACCTTAATATCGCTCACGTATTCGCGTGGGGGTGCTCTTGGCACTGTTAACGAATACGAGTATGAACGATGACATGTTCTTGTTTGCGTTGATGATATTCGCGTCGGTAGTCTCGTTGCGTGCGTGTGTGCTTTCGTCCCGTCTATTCTGGGCACTTCCCTACACCTCTCGAGGTATACTCTGACGCATCGGGAAGAACGTAAACACAGGAGTTTTTCTGTGTTGTTGGTTAACGACTACACGTAGCAATAATATCGATCATTGTGTTGTGGTTGTTGCTTTGGAATATATGAACCATGGTTACTATCGTGACATTCGGGTAAGGATCATGTTGTTACGTTGGAGCGAAACATGATCTATGTTGACACTCGGGATACAGGTTTGTGGTAGGCCGTGCCAACGCTCGAGGCGCTACCGTCCACGGCGGCGGCGCTGAACGCCATGCCGCGCCCCACCGCCCGGCCGCGGAGCAGTGGCGACCGTTGCCCGACGACATCGCTAAGGAAGGCGAGGAAGAGGAAGAAGAAGAGGAGGGTAGGGAAGGAGAAGAGGGGGGAGGAAAAGAAGAAGAGAAGGGCGGGGAAGGAGAAGCGGAAGGAAGCATTGAAGGGCAAGGAGAAGGAGGAGGTGCGCGTTTGGAGCTCTCAGCTTTTTTCTCCCCTGTTGCTGCGAGTGGTTTTAGACTCGGTGTTTTTTTTTTTCATGGCCTTGTCTTTCCGCGTCCTCGCCTGTCTCATGACTTGGAGGGCTTCGGTTTGGGTTGATTTGTTGAAGGCGTAGACAAAGGCGTAGACAAGAATGGGAGCAGAAACGTGTCTACGGGAAGCGTGCTCTCTGTCAGGTTGGCATCTCTCTCTTCCCTCGTTTTTTTTAGAACTAAAAGTGAGTCATAGCCGCAATTCGAAAGAAAAAAATAACATAGCGCGAATCAATTATATTGTCATTTGCAAGGACATGTGTTTGTGTTTATGTTTCCTAATATTTGCAAGGACAGGCACAAGAAAAATGCCAGAAAAAGGGCCGGTGTCAAGGGCAGGCACCGACGGTTTCTTCGTTTGTGTGTTCTCTTGTTGTGGGGTGGGGCATTGCCCTTGCATCGTATGTTGACTTTGGGGCTTTTATCCTCTTGCGCGAGTCCTCTCAAGCACCGACACACCCACCCCGGCATCACGGCTTGATGTTTGTTTTCTGTACCGGTGATTTTTCAGGTGCCGGTTCAGGGGAGCCGAGGACGGCCAAGGAGGACATCGGAACTCCCGCAGACAAGGTGGGACGGGACGGGGGGACATGTGTCTCTGATCCCCGCCCTCGCTCACGTTGGGTGGCTGCTACCGATATGATCGATAACTGCTGTTGAAACCGATATGATCGATAACTGCTGTTGAAACCGATATGATCGATAACTGCTGTTGAAACCGATGTGATCGATAACTGTTGTTGAAAACGATTTTTACACAGATATATATATTCTTAGCGCCCGGGTTCCCTGGCCCATGTTCTGGCTAAAGGGGGCTAGGATCTTGTTCTTGTTGGGAGGTTTTCAAAACACGAAACCGATGTTCCCTACCTTTCGTACCGCTTGTTCAACACCGACAGCTTTGGGTAGAAAGCATCGGAGGTACTTTCCGATGTGAGTTTAGGGCAAGCATTGTTCCATCGCACTTCGTAAGACTACGGAGCCCTAGTCTTGTCTACCTCGGCAGCGGATCAGGCACCAGCAGCCGATTATGGCGTCACCGTATCAAAAGGCGACAGTACTTAACACCTCCCCGTAATGTACGCAACGGGTGAACATACTCAACCAACATTTGCGCGGCTGTTTTTCTTTTTACACGAAAGTACCGCTCGGTCATCGTCGGCGTTGTTGTCGTTGTTGTTGTTATTGTTGTTGTTGTTGTTGTTGGTGGTGGTGACGGTGGTGCTGTTACTGGGGTCGTTGCTTTCACTCTAAATATGGTAGATTTTTTTAATCTCTTTCCAGCGCTTGGTTTCCCTTATCCTCGAGGTAAACACCAGAATCTCCATGACTGGAGAGGGAGTACTCGAAGGCACATCTCGTGGGAACGTTCCTGTTCGTGCGGCGTTTGTTGGAAACAGCTCTCGATAGACGTTGGGGAGAGCATTGACGACGCGTAGGTGCATTTTTTCGTTTCTCCTGGAAGCAGGCGGAGGGCACCGGTGCTAGCACCGACAAGAGCAACAGCAACAGCAAACAGGCCGAGCCAACAAGGGCAAGAGAGCACGAGAGCTCCTCCGGTTCTGACTCCGAAGAGTGTAAAGAAGAAGACGTCTACTTCGGGGTAGGCGGTTTCATGGACCGCCAAAGAAGGGCTAAGGCTGCTGCTGCTGCTGCTGCTGCTGCTGCTACTGCTGCTGCTGGGGAAGCGGCGGCGTCTCCGGGAAAGGCGGGCTTGTCTGGGGGCGCCGAAAGGGAGGCCGCGGTGGAGGGGGGGGAGGGGTTGGCGGAAGGGGATGACTTCGGTCGGAGCAGGATGGCGCAGACGATCAATATGTTCCGCGCGGGGGAGGTGCAGGTGCGTAGATCTTGTAGAGTTTTGTCGTTTCTGCTTGGTCTGCTGCTGCTGTCGGTTATCGGAGGACACATGCTGATGCCACTGTTGGTGTTGTGGTCGTTGTGGTTAATTGTTGTTATCGTTGTCGTTTTCGATTTTTGGGGCTGCGGGGGTTAGGCTGTTTCAGAGGCTCATGTAGACGACACGTGCACTTCCTCTTGCCAAGTCCGTGGGGTGTTATTTTTCCATGCGATCTCATTGTAGCTATAGCGAGTGTACGTCTTCGTCGCTTTTGTCCACTTCAATTTTTTTGCTCTGACAAAGTTTTCCAACATCGTCCCCTGACAACCGTCGACAGACGCGCGTTCCACTAAACGGTTCGACATTTCGGAGTTGCTGCATTCGACACAAGCTGGGTTGTTATCATGCTTCCCGTGAATCACAAAACGAAACAACCTTTGCACGTGTGTACAAACCGTAATCCTGACGTCCGCAGTAAATGGGATGACGTCACACACAGACCGGCAAAAACGCGCATGTTTCCCCCTTTTTCCACTTGTTGTCAAGAGACAGATTCAAGACCGAAGAGGGTGTTGTGCCCGTCGAAGACAGATCCTTGTTTCTGGTCCCAGTGACGATAGACGCCTGTGTTTTCCTTGTGTTTGTTTTTTGTCGAAGACAGATCCTAGTGAACGACAAAAAATACGTGTTTCCCTTGTGCTGTTTGTCGTCGATGTCATATTTTAGACAAGACGCGTGTGTTTTCCTGTTTTATTTCAGATCGTAGTGAAAACAAACAAACGCGTGTGGTTTCTCCTGTTTTGTTGTTGGCCTTGAGCAGATCCTAGTGACGACAGACGCGTGCTCGGAAGGGATCGATGTGCCAGAGTGCAACCTGGTGGTTTCCATGGACAAGATTAAGACCAGCCGCAGCCTTATCCACACGAGAGGCAGGGCGAGGAGCAAGGGAGGAAAGTTCGTTATCATGGTCGAGGTATGCGAATGTTGTTGCGGTGTTGCCGACGTTGTTGTGTGTGCAGTGCCTGTTGCTGTTGATGTCAATATTCGTCTTCCAAACGATGGTTTCTTTACATCTTTCGATCCGTGTTGGCCCCCGCCAAAGTCGAAGCACTTCCTCAGAACCAACTTTATGGATACGAACACAGGCAAATAATATGTCTACCCAGGAAAACTTGGCATTAAAATAATATGGCGTGAGCACAATAGGTAATGGCCCACTGGTTGTTTGTGTAGCGACCTTAGATTAGTGCTGTTTGTGCTCAAGCTCTTTTATGACGAAGTTGTCGTACACCTGCCAGCCTTCGTCTTCGCCGCACGCAGGGCTTCAATACTTTTTTTTTTTTACACGTCCATGAGCGCTATGCTACCTGCCTTCGGTATGGCTGGTGTAAATTCCCTTTTTGCAGGACGGAGACGACATGGAGAGGGATCGCGTATCGCTCATGCTCATGGAGTCGGAGGACATCAAGAGGTTTCAGCTCGGCCACGAGAAGGCTAGCGTGTAAGTCTTGAGGCAACAAATAGAAAAAGCGATGACCATTCGGAATGAAATGAAGCGTGGATAATGCACCCTGGTTCTCACATGAGTGAATTGGGCAGGCGCTACGAAACAAAACACATAGAGAATGCCTATCAAGTCTATCGGGCTGATCCTGACGATGATTCCACGGGCCCTCCAAACGGCATGTTCCCCTTTCCCTGGCGTCGTTTTGTTTAACCGTCCCGTTTAGGCGAGTACCGCTACGACACTCTCACCCCAATATGGTACACCACATCGAGAGCTCGGGTGCCGTGGTGGACATGGACATGGCGACGCCCCTGATGAACCAAGCTCTCTCCGCCGTCGGCTGCGACTTCCACCCCTTGCTCATCGCGGAGGAGAAGTCGGGCCCATGTGAGGCACCTTTTGGTGGCTGCTGATGTTGTCGTGGTTGGTGTTTCGGGCTCTGTCGGTGATGTCTGCGCCTTGTTTTCGCTGCCCCTTCTGTTTGTTTGTTTTTGCAGGGATGCTGTTGGCAATGGTGTTGTTGTTTTAGTCTTCACCGCCGTTCTGGCCAATCGAAAGTTTTCTGTTACCTTATACCTTTTATCCTGTCTTACTGCCCCCCCCCCCTCCTGATCTGTGGGATCTGTCGTTGACCACGACCATGTCCACTTCTACACCATTCCCAGCAATGATGTACCGCGAGCCCTCGTTCAAGTGCCGGTTGGAGCTCCCGTCTTTCATGGGCATGCCTACCATCGACACGTATGTGTGGTTTGTGCATGAGGTTGTCTTGTTGTCGTCGTTGTGTCTGCGCTGCCGAAATTCTCACTTGCCGTTGCGGTTGCGGTTGTGGTTGTGGTTGTTGTTGTTGTTGTTGTTGTTGTAGTCTTCGCCTTAACAGTGTTCACGGCCTCTGCCCAGTACCTTCAAATGCCCGTACTGTAACTCTCCCTCTGACGCGGATGCCTTCATGGGAGGAAGCTTTCGTTGTGGCTGATTGTGGGTTTCGTCGAGATTCTATTCCTGGAGAACGAAGTTGCGGTTTCACCCCCAAGAGGAACAAATGACGTTCCTGACAAAGACCGTTGACTGCTGTCGCCGCACCGTTTCGGCGAGTCTCTGATCAACGATCACACTCTACCTTCGTTATTGGATACCCTCGAAACCATCTATCTCGAGTCGAGTTTGGTTGCCTTTGCAACTGCTGTCATCGCCCGCAGAAGAGCTGTCGGACGAAAACAGAAATGATTTTTCGTTGTGTTGTACACAACCCGCACCCGCGTCAAGGAACATGAGAGTTTTTTATACAAGTACGAAGTAGACACTCGAAGTCGACTACATGTAGAACCCTACAAACTATGATTGGTTACTAGGTAACGCCACAGCGAAAACAGGAAAAACGAGCCTTGGGGCACGATAAGAGGTTATTCAGTAACGCGTTCTGTGCCCCAACGCTGAGTCCTTCCTGTTGCCGGTTTTGGGTCCAGCGCGATGTTGGCCGACGAGCACTTCTGGAGCAAGAGCCAAGCGAGATCCGCGGTGTCCTTTCTGGCCGTGGTGCAGATGCTGGAGAAGGGCTACATCGACAAACGTCTCAACCCCACCCGCACCAAGGACAGGCTCGTGGTAAGCGAGAGGTCGAAATTGTAACGGTTGGTCAACTCCACCTGCACCAAGGATGGGCTCGTGGCAAGCGAGCGGTCGAACTTGTAGCGGTTGGTCCACCCCACCCGCGCCAAGGACAGGCTCATGGAGAGCGAGCGGTCGAACTTGCAACGGTTGGACTTGTAACGGTTGGTCGACCCCACCTGTACCAAGGACAGGCTCGTGGTAAGCGAGCGGCCAAACTTGTAGCGGTTGGGACTTGGTAACGGTTGGTCAATCCCACCCCGCACCAAGGACAGGCTCGTGGTAAGCCAGCGTTCGAACGTGTAACGGTTGATACTTGTAACGGTTGGCATCGAACCGTTATCTTGGCTCAGGACTTGTGGTTCTGCAATGCCGTCTGTGTGACTTGACCACGGATTGGAGCGCTCCTATCCGGCTGAACTGCTGTCAACGCTGATTTAGAGTGACGAACCAACAAGGCCATGGGTACGGCACGCAGTTGAAATGTTTCGTTGTTTTTTTTTTTGAAGTGGCGCTCGTGTTGGTTTCGACTGGTGTGGTCTCTACCCCGGCTGGACCAAAGGGTGGACGCATGGAGAGCTCTCAAGTTCGAGCTGTTGGGTTGCCATGATCTCCGTTCCTCAAAATCGTAGATTCAAAGAAATCTTTAGGGTTCGCAGGGTAAATCTACGTTCCGCAAGCTCGTAGATTCAAGCTGGTGCTTACTGTTGCAGTTGTTTGTTCGTTTGTGGTCTAGAGGTGAAGAAACGTGTCGTCAAGCTTAGGCTCCTTAGGAGCAATGGAGGAAAGCCTCGTGGCAAAACACTCCTGGCTGATCATTTTCTCCTATCTGTTTTCGCTTGGATGGCCCCTGACGCCGATAGGCTTTGTAGTCTGACGCGCCGTTTTTTTGTGTTTTGGGTTTGTTGCTGGTCTCGGAGATGTGTCGCCGACGACCTCAGGGCCGCCTGCAGCAAGAGGGGTGTGGTGGCTGTTCGCTTACGTTGCACCAATTCAACATTATTTGCCTTGGGTTCAATTTTCTTGAAACAGTGTTGCTGCCTTTTTTTTTTTTTTTCTGCTTGGGCCAAAGGGCGAATGCTGTTGACCTTGTTGAACACTGCTGTACCGACGGAATACCGTTCATGTGCGAGTCATCTGCATCCCCTAGTCTTCACTTTTCAGAGATGAATTCTTTTCACAACCAAGGGTGAGCGAAAATCGGCCGGCACGCGCCAAGACAGGTGTCGACGAGGTCTCTTCCCACACCACCCTGTTTCGTCATCGCCAGCGTCTCAGCTGTCGGGAAATCTAGCTGTGATGAAATCAGTCTAAGGGGACGTGTGCGACGACTCGCACTTAGCACGGTACCGTAGTCTCTCTCTCTTCCCGTCTCTAACTCTTTCGTTCCGCCATCCCTTGCAGGTGGAAAAGCGGCGTGGCTACGACCCCGTTCTGGTGGAGGGGAAGGAAGCCCGCATCAAGGCCAAGATGCCGATACCGCGCCCGGTAGCCATGGGCATCCTGCCGACTCCCAGCGTCGAGTTCGACGCCGCCTGGATGGCGGCGTGGATGGCGGCGGACGGGAACGGCGCCAGCAACGACGGCGGCGGCAGCACGAACGGTACCTCGGAGGAGGCGAAGAGCCCTGAAGCTGACGCCCCAAGCGAGACAGCGGCAACAGCAGGGTCGCCACCGTTCCCCGGTGCCTTCGGGGACGGTAGCCAGGGGGAAGGCGACGTCCAACCTGGCGGTCCAGGTGCACCGGGAATCGGCCCCGCCGCGGCCGGGGCAGGCTTCGCCGTGTGGGAGGGGGCGCGGACCCGGGGATGCTACGAGGACGACCCCGGCCCGAAACGGCGCATGAGAGTCTACTGCTTCCGCAGCCCGGCCGGAGAGGCTGAAGGCTGGGTGCCGACGTTGAAGAGAGTGCGCAAGCGCAGGTCCGAGCTCGACGGGAGCGAGGAGATTCTGGAGGAAGAGGAGGACGAGGTTCAGGGCGAGGACAGAGCGTCTGCGAAGGAGGGAGAGGAAGGAGAGGAAGGAGAGGAGGAGGACGAGGAGGTCCTGGTCGAGGAGGAAGAGCATGAAGTGAGCGTTCGCTCATCGATGGGCCGTGCGCCCCGTGTTTCTACTTGTCTTTACGTGGTTGTGGAGGAGTGCGACGGTACGTTTGATGTACATTAATAGTATTCTACAGCAGGAACCATGGGTTTTTCCTTTTTGGAATGAAACTGTGTCAGCCTGAAATGGGCTGCTGCTGCAAGTGAGCGTGACTTGGTAGGACGAGGCAACCGCGAGGGACATTTGGGTTGTCTTCGGACTCATGCAACGGTAGGGGTGCACGAATCCCTTCTGAGTTTCAAACGTTAGAAGCTCCATATGTCAGCCTGGAATGGACATTGACACAATATGAAAATATTGCGTGATAGGTAATCCGAAGGGCTAGATGAAACACGATTGAAATTTGAAATCGGAGTTGATATTCGACAATCGCTGGTTGGTTACTCATCTGAATAACAGAAGGTTCTGGGCCATAATGTGCTATCCCTATCGTTGCATGACTCTTCGTTGAAGGTGGCCTTCCTCTCTCTGCCCCCCTGTCCTTCTCCTAAGCCGTGTACTGAAACCTATGTAGTGCTAGTGGGATAAAGCCAATTTTTTGTAGCCTTACATCGGTATCCTCTTGAACAGCACCTCTTAAACCGTAGCCGCTGCTGCAACTCCCTCTCGCTGTCTCTCCCTTCCACCTCAGGCCGACATGCGATCATTCCACCCCAAGCTGAAGGTGGACCTGGGGCGGGGACCCGGGAAGGGTCTAGGCCCCCGCCTGTTCGTGGGGTTGGCCAGCGCGGCTCCCCTCCCTTTGACGGCCTCCCAGGCGGCCAAGGTCGGGATAGTGGACAGCTTCGATGTCGACCTCAATCCTGCGCAGGTGTGTAGATCTCTTCGTGTTTGTTGTCGTCCTTTGTATTTTTTTACGGAGATCTTGTTGTGTGCTGGCTTTTAGTTGAGGCCGAAGAAGCACGGGAGGGGCACTGTAGGGAAATAGTAGACAGACGGGGGTGGGGTGGGACAGATTGCATGCCCGTGAACCTGTTGTAATAATAATTGCTGTCATCTTGTGAGTTTTAGCGATTAATGTGTTGTATGTCGTGGTTGTATTCGCGATGTTGGCATACTCGTATGCGATCGTCCTCGTAGGTCGTCGTTCTTGTTCGGCCCTCCTCCTGAATGATCACAAGGGGAACAATCCATGGTACCGGCCTTACTCAATGAAGTGATGGAACCGGACGATCGTCACCACCAGCAATTCTTGGACCCGTATATGTCCATGGTACCGGCCTTATTCCATGATGGAACCGGGCGATTGTCACCACCAACAATTCTTGGACCCGTGCATGCACGCCGCCTGCAGATGGCAGCCATAGTACAGTGGCACAAGGAGACGGTGGGCATGGCGGCCCTTTACGAGATTCCCCACCAGATGATGCAAACGCCTCTGAACGACCCGGCCAAGTCTCCCTTCCGGGTAAGTGACTTGTTTTCTTTTTGCATTTCTCGATTTTGTTTTTTGCAATTCTCGACTTAAATTTGAGTTCAAGCACCCTAGGAGGAAATATGAAAAAACGCCTGGAACAACCCCTGTGTTTGCCTTCCGCCTGTGAGCCCAGGCGCCGCATCAAACATGTGCCGAACGGGGTAGACCGGCGCTAGAATAGATGAGAACAAGAAGCTGACCCACGCAAGCTATGCTATCCGGCGTACCCCAACCATGACGTTCTTGCGAAGAAATTTTTGGTACGGGTACGCCGGAGAGAATTACTTGCTGCGTGGGTAAGTTTCGTGTTCCCATCTATTCTGGCGCCAGCCTACACCTCTCGGCACGTCTTATTCGACGGGTTTTAATTGTTTTCTCTGCGCCCAGTTCTGCCAAAACAAACTGTTCAACAGGCATTATTGAGCGCCCCCCACTGGATTTGTTTCGTTCGGTGTGTACGATGAGCTCTCCCAAGAGGTCGTGTGAGCAAGCCAGAGAAGCTGAGCGTTTTTTCTCATTCGGTAGGTTTTGGTTGTTCTTCAGTAGGCGGGGGCAGTGACTTGCCCGAGCGTGCGCGCTGCTCTGGACGTGGGGCACACCGACACGATCGATAATTTGCAAACGTGCTCTTTGGTTTGTCTACTTGAACTCCTTCAACAAATCCGTGCGTCGTTGCAGGAGACCGGAGTTGAAGGGGACAAAGGCGTGCTTGCCGTCCCTGTGGACTACGGTGACGATGGACCGGCGGGAGACGGGGTGGTAAAGATTGACTGGCCGGCGATCGAAGCGGCCAACGCGGGAGTGCACCTGCCGGACAAGACGGACGAGCAGTACACCAGGCGGATTCTATTCTCGAGGGTAGGGAAGAGTTTTTTGGTAGGGAAGAGGTTTTTCTGGGTGAACGTTCTTGGGGTGTTGCTTGATAGGAGCTTGAGAAGCCCGGTTACTTGATGTAGATGTTGAGAAGTGTGTTGATGGCTTCTTCGAGAGGTGTCCACACGTCCTTCGGAGGCTCTCAGCAGAGGCTCTAGGAAAGAATGCTGGAGTGATCTTGATCGATAGTTTTCTCCTATTTTTTATTTTTTCGTTTTTTGTGTGCCCCTGAGTGGTGGAACAGCACAAGCACCATACAAGGCGGGTAACACCTTTTATCGAGGGTGACGGAAGTCTTTCGAGGACTACTTGTGCGTAGCCTTGTTCTGCCAATTACGGGTACGTTCGTTGTATCATACCATATGTGTTTTCTCGGCGATGTTGATGTGTCAAGCTCCTGTTTGGCCTAATTTTGCAACAATCATTAGGGCTTCCTCAGAAGCATACAACAATCCTCTCTTTAGCACGACAACCCTGAGTTCACTTCTCTGTATCTCGTCGTAGTCATTCCTTGCAAGGCTTGGTGGGTATCGTGGAGGAATTTGTTTTTCGCGCTCCAAACCCAATCTGGCATTTCTTGCAGGTGAGCCACAAGACCTGCCGTTTCTACTTCATCCTGGAGAGGACCACCACGACCCTTGAGATCTACCTTCGGCGGTGCCTTGAGTCCGACCAAGTAAGTCGTTGCGAACGCTGAATAGATGCGCTATGTCCGCTGCCTTACAAAACGCAGCCAAACCTTCAGTCTGACACCGCCGCGCGATCGGCACCTTAACATTTGCTGAGTTTTGAAACTGTTCGACGCAGTTTTTCCGAACGCCCTTTGGTGTTTGATAGGCCATTGGGTCACGTTTAGAAGGGTCCCACCATAGTCATAGCCGTGCCAGGGGGAGGGCAATACATCCCTGGAGGCTGCCTGAGCCCGATTGAACGGGTGAGGCCGGGCGATAATTGTTTATTCGGCAACCAAGCCCTTGGTCGCGCCGTGGCCGTTGCTCCGTGGGACAAGATTTTGAGAGCCGTTGTCTGCGGTTGTCAGGGACTATTGTAGCTTGAGCGTTAGGGCTAGAGGGCTACCCCCGACTGGACTGATCTCTCGAAGCGACGTACCTCCCTGGCTGCTATTTCGTCACAAAAACAAATTCTACCCTCCTCACCCTACCGCCACGCCGCTTGCCGTGCTTTTAATTGTTCCTGTCTCACAGGGCCCTTACGCTGGACTCCCGTGCGAGACGATCACGCCGCACGATGCCGGCCGAATGGGCCGCGTGAAGGGGGTCTTGGCGGTGAGAGTCAGGTTGCGGGGCCCTCTGTGTGCGTTTTGATCGACTCCTCGACGTCGGACGTATGCCTTCGGGTGGTATCGTCAAGTTCCGGATAGGTACTTCTTTCAGAACCAATTTCTCAGTTACGTCTACTACCCGCGCCGGCTGCTTCGGCGGTGTTCAAGGGGCGATAGCGGTGATGCGTATACAGGCAATGATCGACTGGCGATGCAGTACGCAAGACCACGTTAGGACCTGGGACCTGGGAGTGAAGAAAAATTTCAGGCCCACGAAAAGAGAAATGTAAACAAATGACGATAAGAAGAGGTGCTGGGTTAACTATCCTACGCTAAGCCCTTAAAGTCGACATTGAGATGCCCCACAGGGGAGATGTAAGGAGTTTTTCAGCCGTGGCGCGTGCTGTATCGTCAGCAAGACGTGCTTTTTCTTTTTTTCAGACTGTCGCACTTGTCGCCTTCGCTCCCCGCTGTGACTATCGGTAGTGACTGATGTCCGTCTAATAGCGTCTCTTGGACAAAGACATCGTGTGGCAAGAGGGAGAGGTTCAACTTTCCGTCCTAGATGGCACGCCGAACGCCGGCTGCGTGTGTGCACCCCCCCTCCTACGCAGGTGGGCCACGGCGTGCGGAAGCCGGACTACGACGCCGCCGACAAGTCTCAGCGCCTGCTACTGGGCGTGCCGGCGCCGGCCCTGAAGCACTCGTTCGCACAACACCTGGTTCGAGGGGAGAAAGTCATGGACCCTGACGCTGGCGTCCGAAGCAGGGTGAAGGTTAGAAGCCCCCCCGCCCCCCCCGGTGTTTACCATCGGGGTTGGGTTTTCGTCGCTTGGCAACGACGTTGTAAAACAAGCCCCCCGCTCGGTGTTTGCCATCGGGATTGGGTTTTCGTCGCTTGGCATCGACGTTGTAAGACAAGCCAATTCACTTCGTGAACTCGGCAACCAGGTTACCGGTTTTTTTTTTTTGGCGGTAACCATCATGGTGGTCGAGTAGATCATGTTGTGCGGGGTGGAGAACCCTCACTCCGCGCAACGGGGGATGATCGCACCACGTTGTGTTAAAATGGTCAAGCACCCTCGAGGCAGTTACACAGTGCTTACAACTGTCTCTGGAAGTGAAAGCACCAGAAAATAAGTGAAGTCATACGCAGCTGTCATCCGTACGCAAGGAAGTAAGCACAAGATGCCGAACACCCTTAGCAGGATGCAGCTCACCCTTCATGCGACTCGCCAAATACCTCACGGTGCTTCGCGCTTGGTGATGTGAGAGCCTGGTCCGGTGAGAACCCGGCGTGCTCCGTCCCGGCTTTGTAGGGATGCGAGGTCAATGGTCTAATGACTACGGCATACACGACTATGAGTACACCCCCCCCCCCCAATGGCGGACGCAAGGATGATATTAATCGTTGTGGAACATAGCCTGGGCCCGCCGAAACCCGGTATGCCGCTCCGTCCCGGCGTTGTAGAGATACGAGGTCTATGGTCTACCGATGATGGCATGCGTTTTTACGTCAATACACCCCCGATGCGACGCTTGCTGCTCGGTTTCCCGGTAGGTGCCTCGTCTGATCTGGCGAGAACTCTCAAGTGTTGAATGTCTGGGTTTTAAGAAAATGCACATCATATTATACTTGTGCTAGTGGCTACTCGTTCTAGGCTTTGCAGAGATGTGACGGTCGAGGTGTGCGGCGAATAGGGGTGAATACACGTGAATCTATGTTGGGCTACAGCAGAGCGGTTTTGCACGCACTAGCATGTGTGCTGTAGCTGTTCCCCGCGAAGAAGTTTGGGTGCGATCACGCAGCAGAGAGCACGGGTAGGCCACACTCTCAAGGCAATGGCGATGGCGATGGCGATGGGAAGAAGGGTTGCTATCCCGAGAAAATGCTGCGAACACTAGCAATCCTCCGACGTTCCGTCAACTCCGCAGTCGCCCTCCTGAGTGTGTACACAGTGGTGCTGGGTGCTGTGTAGTGCCGGTAGAATAGGACCGGTGCCCCGTATAGTGCGGGTATGTTGGGCTGGCACATACTGTATCACCAAGTCGTTCTGTACTTGAAATAATGCCGGTGCCCGGCATATTGCCGGTCAATTATTCGGGACACGCATTCCGGCACTAAACACCCCCCCCCCTGACCTCGCTCTTGAAGGTGAAACGGCCGAGCAAAAAATCGTTGGAGGACGACGGACAGGTCGACGGCGCCATGGGCGTTACCGAGAAGGGGGAGGACAACCCAGAAGAACGAGGCGATGCGCCTTCGCCGGCAGCGGATGCGGCGGGAACAGAACAGCAAGGCGGTGATGCGGAAGACAAGGAAGAGGAGGAGGACAATGATGACGAGATTACGGTTTCGATGCAGGAATCAGACGACGGAGGCGACGACGACGCGATGGTTGTCGAAGCTCCGGTTGAGAGACCAGCCGCGTCCTCGGAATCGGCGGCGGGCGAGATGGCCGTAGAAGCCGCCGTGGTGACTGCTGGGGCAGCGGCTACGCTCGAGGCGCAGCGGGTCGAGAACGGCGGGGAGGAGGAAGATGAGGCTAGAGGATGGGCGGGTGTGTCTACTCTGAAGCTCAACAACCACAAGGTTGGGCCCGGGCAGCCAGTGCTGCTTGTGGAGCAGTACTGCCAGCCTGTGTGTTGCACCCGGAGGGTCTTCATTAGCGTCTTGCATGTGAGTGTCGTGCTGCTGTGCCTGTTGTTATTTTCTGCTGGCTTTTTGTGCTGCTATTGCTCAAGTAGCTGTCGTTTTGGTCTCGCGGCCGCTGTTGCTGCTGTTGCTGCTGTTGCTGCTGCCTCTGCGCTGTTTCGCGGCCGCTGTTGCTGCTGTTGCTGCTGCCTCTGCGCTGCCTCCGTTGCTTTCCTTGTTGTGCTGTGCGTGCTAGTTCGTTGCTACCTCTGCTTCCACCTCTTCCTCTGCCCTTGTAGTTGTTACCGATTCTTTCTTTTGCTGCTGTTGTTGCTCAAGCATTGCCGTTAGTTCTTGCTGCTACTACCGCTCCGGGCACTTGATGTCCGTGTCACTCTCCTTGCTACGCTTTACTGGCATTGTGCCACGCTGAACCAGTCATCAACAGCCAACCTATCTCACACCCTGAACAGCGCTGCTTGCTACGCTTGTGGCATCTTTCCCTCGTTCTCCTCCACCGGCCGCCGCTCCTTTCGCTTAACCCCCTTATGCTTAACGACGACGCCTCCATTCACCGCAGATTGTGCCCCGCATGTTCGATTTGGAGCGCCAACTCCTCTGCTTCGTGCTGCACGAGTCTCTCTTCCTGCCGGCCCTGCAGACCTCCCTCTACCACCGCAACCCCCCCGGCGCTGACAAAAGCAGCAACGACAAGTTGTTGTTGGGTCCTGCTGCTGCGGAGGAGGAGGAGGAGGAAGGGTGCAATTCTCCCGAACGGGCGCGTTCTGGACAAGCGGTTTCGGCTCAAGGGTTAGCGGCTTCGGACGCCGCTCCCGCCCCGTCGGAGGCGTCGCAGTTGCTCCGGTTGTCGCCCTCGGGAGCGGCGCAGGAGGCGGCGGCAACGTTAGCACAGCCAACGACTGCATCTAGCAGCACCGGCGGCAAGGAGCGGGGCGGGGGCCCGGAGAAGGAACGAGACGGCGGGGAAGAGAAGAGCAGCGCGGCTGCCGCTGGCGGCACTGGCGCCGATGCCGCCGCCGAAAGCGCCGAAGCAGGTGGCCTTCTCTCCGTACCCGAACAAGACGCCGCCGCAGCCGACGCCTGGCCTCCCTGTGGCACGTGGTGCATCCCGGGTGAAGGCGCTGGTACAGGGTCCGGCCCCAGCGGGTCCAAATGCAATGCCGATGCACCGGAGGAACCATCGGCGCCGGACGCGCCGAATGGGATCATGTCTGCGCCCGGTGACGGTTTGGGACCGGTGTCGGGGGATTCGGCGACGGGGGGGGGTAAGGGAGCAGGGAGGATCGGGGTGGAGGCGGCTGCGGAGGGGGGCGCGCAGGCAGCGGCGAGGGCGGCGGCGGTGGGGGTAATCAAGTGGAACGGCGGGGAAGAAGGGGCGGTAACCGACACCATGGCACTGCTCGATTGCTCGCTTCGCAGGTGAGACTGACGCGGGGGGGGGTGCACTCCCTTGATGAAGCAGCTCGGTTGAGAGTCGGAAGCGCGATATGGCAGAGGAAGCCGATCCTATCGGATAGGAGATGAAACCTACAAGTGGCCTTGCATCGTTTCGTATGGAGATATTCGTCCTGCCCGATACTAGGATGTACCTTCTGCCGTCTAATGGCCTTGCCGATTCTGGCTCTCCCCAGTTCCCCGTCCACACCCGACTCATTCTGTCCCCGGCACACGAGTCATCAGTCCTTTGAACGCGGATGGATCGATAGGACCCTATTCACCCCACCCCCCCGTCCATTCAATCGTCTTCCCGCGTGTGTTTTTGTGTTGCCGCATGGACCAAACGCATCATAATGCAGACCGGTGAACGAGAGACTGGAGACGTTAGGCGACGCGTGGCTAAACTACTACGCCGGGTTCGTTGTTTTCCAGGCAAGTGGGACTTTGTTGAACATGGTTTGTTTTGGGGGAGGGTTAAGGGAGAGGTTTGGGTCTCATGCATATGGTCATGCATGCCGCCGTCATGTGAACCGTCGACTTGGCATGTCTGCGAAGCTGGGGACGCCGAACGCGATTAATAAGGTTGTGAGGAAGTAGAACAGGGAGGGGGGACGCAGACCCTATTCCCTAACCCAACTCCCTCGATTGTTTACTTTATCCAACATGCTTACAGTATACGAAAAACGCTTCGAAGGCTACTGGGTTTTACTCCGGACCAGGGGGTGGGTGGTGGTGATCGGCGGACATGAAAGTACGGACCTTGAGCGTGTTGTGTGTTAATCCGTATCGTTCTTGAGTAACGAATGTCTCGCATGTTCCCGGCCGAGAAGAGGGCAGGGGACGGCGTCCGTTTCGGGAATGGGAAAATAGCGGGGTTGATGAAGACAGCGATAAGACCCTTCCGAGTACTGCCGAAGGAGATTCTTGCATGTGTTGACATTTTTGACAGTGCCGCGTGGCTGGAGACACTGTTTTTTGCGTGTCTTCTTGGCCTGTAAACATATTGGTCACCCACGCATCTTTTCCTTGAACAAATTCACTTCCGGATGGTTCAATCAAGCAGGACAAGCCGGTGCTGATGGAGGAGGGGATGATGACACTTCTCAGGAAGAACGTCGTTTCCAACGCTCGTCTCCTCAAGTGTGCTGATGGTCGAGGCCTGAGGGTAAGCCCCACGTGTCTAGCTGGCTGCACGCCACCAGGGTGTTTGTGTTTTTCTATCCACAAAAATTTCTGTCACACGGTAACGGAGTAGTGCATGATCTATTAATAGCTTCTTCGGTCCCCCGCCTCACTCAAAGTAAACCGCTACAAGGGTGATCTCCAACTGCGATGATGGTCTGCGGCAGGTAATAAAAGCACCGATGTATGCATTCCCGTTTCATATTTGACGTTCATCAAGGAGACGTAGTCCGTGGGAAGCTCGAAAACTCGAATGCGGACACGATGAACTAACTGCCTCGCCTACCCTTACGTCGGCAGGAGTTCATGTACCCTCCGAGGTCAATTCTTGGACGGCCTTTCGACATGTGGTCTCCTTCGCTCCTGCCTCTTCCGCCTCCGGTGAAGGCTAGCAAGAAGACCATCGCTGACGTTGTCGAAGCCCTCCTAGGGTGAGCGTAGGTACAATACATGATCGGAGATTTGGCGTCGGAGATCTCGAGATGCTTTGATGTTGTTGAGACAAAACCGGAGGTTGTCGGAGTCATTTTTGGTTCCAAAGAGTTCGAGCTTCAGAGGGATGGCAGGGCAGGCGTATCAGACTGTCCTTCAGTGATGCCGAACAGCCGAGCTGTGGAAGAAGCGCTGATGCGAATGGGAATACCTTTGGACAATCAAAAGTATTTTTGACATGAAGAGGTTGCTTGGTTGCGTGTCGGGTTGAGAATACAACGCGCAGATGGAGAGAGTCTGGGCGTTCAGGTGCATTCATTGGTCGATCGACCTGATTCCTCCCCTTGAATACTGGTGCACTGCAATAAATGTTCACTTGAAACGAGTCTAATAGAGGTATCTTATGGTTGGGAATAGTCTTTGGTCGTCCTCGTGGTCCTCTTAAGGGTGTATCGCGGTCGCTTGCCGAGGAACGAATGGGCAGGCGGCCAGGAAGACACAGCAGTTGCACAGAGAGGAACAAATCATCGGTGCAAGATGAAAAACCTCACCCGTGACCGTTCGCACGTTCTTGCTTTTAATGTTTCCTTTTCGTGTCCATCTGTGCCACGGTCGCTTGCCCGCGAACAAACAGAGCGGCCCTCGTTGCGGGCGGCAACCGCAGCGCGGCGTACATCATGGAGTGGCTCGGCCTGCCCACCCTCGAGTCGTCCAACGACCCCGAGAAGGCCAAGGAGTACGCGGCGGAGGCCGCTGCAGCAGCCGCCGCCGCGGCTGAAAAAGCGGCAGGCAAGGCCGCAGCCAAGGCCGCGGCCACCGCTGCCGCCAACACCGCCAACGCCGACGCCGACGCCGACGCCGTTCTTCAGGAAGAAGGCGGTGAGTCCAAGGGCAACGACCTCGGCGAATCGACTCGAGCGTCGGAGACGACAGCCGCCGTCAACAGCCAACAGCAGGCCGGAGGTGGGGAAGGGGCGGGCAATGGCCCGGCTCCTCACGAGGAAGGAGTTTCGACTACGGCAGCGGCATCACCAGGACCAGCACCCGCAGCATCGACACCAGCAGTAGATGCGACGGTGTTGTCCCCACCAATTCGAGAGGCGGAGGCTGAGGCCGCCACGGCCGCGCCCGAGGTTGCCGCCGCTCTCCTCCAGGCACAACCCGACCTAGCGCGGACAAAGGCTGGCGGAGGAGGCCGCCTGTTGAGCCCCCGCGGTGTTGCCGGGAGCTGCTCCTCTTCGGCTGGCGATACGGGAGGCAGTAGCGGTAACGACGCCGGCTGTTCGAGAGCGGCACCCGTTTCTGCGCAATCGGACGACCCCATGGACGAGGAAGAAACCGGCGGCGGCCGCCTCGTGTGGCCGGTTGTCAGGGCTGCGGCCAGCGGCTCTGAGTCGGGACCATCCCCGAAGAGGCAAAACAGCTCGAGCGAGGAGGACGTGCTCATGCCGTATCCCAAGCGCATCCGGACACCGGAAGGGCACAGCCCGGCCGGCAGCGCGGGGTCAGGGGAAGCGGCGGCGGCGGTGGCGGCAGCGGCGGCTGGAAGAGAACTGGCGGAGGCAGAAAAGATGGGGCTTAGCGCTGCGGTCGCGGAGGAGGGCGGCGGCGACGACGACGACGGCCCTGATTCTGGGGATCAAGGACCCGC